CTAATGCCATTTTAAAATATTCTTAAAATTATGGTTGGAAGTGATGTCAGAATGTAGTTACTGAGAGCAGAAAGGGGCGTTCTATTTGTTTATCCTTTGTTTTCTCTGAAATCTATTATTTGGTTTTGCACTGAATACCTGGTATGACTCTGCAGATTTTTGTTTTTTCCGTGAAAACAGATACCTAGCATGCTTTTTTTCTCTCTTGAAATCTCTGGAAGAAAAACATTTACTTAATAGAGATAGAAGCAGGGGAGGTTTTTCAAAAACTACAATGGTATATTAATACAAAATATGGGTGACCTCTGAAGAAACTGCAGTCACAGAGAGGAAGGCAGGCTGCTGCGTAGAATGCCTCTAATTCACTTTCCAAGGGAGAAGAGGGACCAAGAGTTGGACAAAGCAAGGAGCTGTTAACACTCAGAATCTGAAGAGTTGTTTCCATTCTGAATTACTTAGTTTGATCTGCATGTCTAGCTCATTTGCTGTAGGAGAATCAGCCAAAGGGAGTGATTTAAGATGTGAATCTGGCGAGGCAGCTATCCTGTATCAGTGATTTCGTGGGATGAAGTTTCCAAATGTAGTGTAGTTTATTTATTGTGAGATAGAGTCTCACTTTGTCTCTCATGCTGGAGTGCAGTGGCACAATCTTGGCTCACTACAACCTCATCCTCCAAGGTTCAAGCGATTCTCATGCCCTCAGCCTCTCAAATAGCTGGGATTATAGGCCCGCACCACCATGCCTGGCTAAGTTTTGTATTTTCTGTAGAGAAGGGGTTTTGCCATGCTACCCAGTCTGGTCTCGTACTCTCCTGACCTCAAGTGATCCACTTGCCTCAGCCTCTCTAAGTACTGAGATTATAGGCATGAGCCACCACACCCAGCTGCAATTAACTTTACTTTTTTTGTTGTTTGTTTATTTGTTTTTTGCCCCACTGCTCAGGCTGGAGTACAGTGGGACAATTTCCACTCACTGCAGCCTTTGCCTCCCAGGTTCAAGCAATTCTCTTGCCTCAGCCTCCCGAATAGCTGGGGCTACAGACGTGTGGCACTATACCCAATTAATTTTTTTTGTATTTTAATAGATATAGGGTTTTGCCGTGTTGGCCAGGCTGGTCTCAAACTCCTGACCTCAAGTGAGCTACTCACCTTGGCCTTCCAAAGTGCTGGAATTATAGGAGTAAGCCACCATGCCTGGCCTAATTTGCTTTATTTTATGTAATATGTCACCTGTGGGGAGGGAGACATTTTGATAAACTCTAGATACTCAACAAAGTTGAGATGATTGAGAATCCTTAATCTGTACCCCAAATATATTAAGTATTTTGCTAGAGCTGAAGGGCCTGGGAAACTTTGGGATCAGATCTTGTCACTTAACCAGTAAACTGACTTGCATAAGAGATCCAGAGACGAAAGCTGGATCAGAAGACGCAAAACTGTTCAAAGTATATGAAGTGCAAGTCAGGAAGCCTTACCTTAGAGGATAGAAAAGGCATTGTTCATTAATACCAGAAGAAAATGGCAGGGAAAATATATTTTTATATACATACATATATATATATATATATGAAAATATTTTTAAAATAAAAGTAAAATATATAGAATATATCTTATATGTAAATATATAGAGCAGAAAAATTAGCCAACAGACAGTTGACAATTTCTGGAGATGTTTTTGGTTATCACAACTGGTTGTGGGTGGAGAGGTAGGATGTGCTGCTGACCTCTAGTGGGTAAAGGCTGGGAATACTGCTAAATATCCTACCTTACACAGGACAGGACCCACATCAAAAACCTATCCAGCTCTAAATGTCTTTTGTTTTTTGGTTGTTGTTGTTTTTTGTTTTTGTTGTTGTTTTTTTTTTTTTTTTTTGGAAGCAGAGTGTGGTTCTGTCACCCAGGCTGGAGCACAGTGGTGCAATCTTGACTCACTGCAGCCTCCGCCTCCCAGGTTCAAGTGATTCTCCTGCTTCAGCCTCCCAAGTGGCTGGGATTACAGGTCTGTACCACCACACCTGACTAATTTTTGTATTTTTAGTAGAAATGGGGTTTTACCATGTTGGCCAGGCTGGTCTCAAACTCCTAACCTCAAGTGATCCATTGGCATTGGCCTCCTAAAGTGCTGAGATTACAGGTGTGAGCCACTGCCCCTAAAAGTAAATAGTGCTCAGATTAAGAAACCCTGACCTTGAGGAACTCCAATTCTCTTTTACTGTTGAAATCATAGGACACAGTCTGAACTTTACAGGAGGCCAGGTACAAACCACCAAAACAAAAAACTTCATTTTTGTGTTTGCTTCTCATTTAATGTCCATCCAGAAAAAAAGACGGGGAAAAAAAAGTTGCCAATAAAGCAACAGTGTAGGATGGATTCTATGATTCCATTGAATACTACCAAGTGGTTTTTCTTCCTTTTTTTTTTTTTTTTTTTTTGAGACGGAGTCTCGCTTTTGTTACCTAGGCTGGAGTGCAATGGCGCAATCTCGGCTCACCGCAACCTCCGCCTCCTGGATTCAGGCAATTCTCCTGCCTGAGCCTCCTGAGTAGCTGGGATTGCAGGCACGTGCCACCATGCCCAGCTAATTTTCTGTATTTTTAGTAGAGACAGGGTTTCACCATGTTGACCAGGATGGTCTCGATCTCTCAACCTCGTGATCCACCCGTCTCGGCCTCCCAAAGTGCTGGGATTACAGGCATGAGCCACTGCGCCCGATCCTTTTCTTTTTTTTTTTTTTTTGAGATGGAGTCTCCCTCTGTAGCCCAGACTAGGGTGCAGTGATGCAATCTAGACTCACTGCAACCTCCGCCTCCTGGATTCAAGCAATTCTCCTGTCTCAGCTTCCTGAGTAGCTGGGACTACAGGCACATGCTACCATGCCCGGCTAATTTTTGTATTTTTAGTAGAGATGGGGTTTCATCATACTGGTCACGCTGGTCTTGAACTCCTGACCTCAAGTAATCCACCCACCTCGGCCTCCCAAAGTGCTGGGATTACAGGCATGAGCCAACGTGCCCAGCCACAAGTGTTTTTTATCATAGGTTTCAAGAACATTCAAACTCACTATAATTACTTTGTTGAGGGATGATGAAAAAAAAAAGTCTTCTATACATTTAAAAAATTATTTCCCAGTGATAACAAATGCGGCCAGGTGAAGTGGCTCACACTTGTAATCCCAGGACTTTGGGAGGCCGAGGCAAGTGGATCACTTGAGCCCAGGAGTTCGAGACCAGCCTGGGTGACATGGCATAACCCCATCTCTACCCCACAAAAAAGAAAGCCGGGTATGGAGGCACACATGTGTAATCCCCAACTACTCGGGAGGCTGAGGTGGAAGGATCATTTGAACCATGAGATAAAGATTGCAGTGAATTGTGATGTGCCACTGCACTCCAGCCAGGGTGACAGAGTAAGTCCCCATCTCAAAAAAAAAAAAAAAAAAAGAAAAGGTGGAGAATGAAGAAAGAGGGAGATAGAAACGGGTATTTATATTCTAAAGGGAAAACCATCAAAATGGAAGGAGAAATTAGACTCAACAATAGGAGCAGAGTGACAGAGAGCCTTTGAGTATGTGAGATCCACCCTACAATGACTATTTATTTTTAGAGACAAGGTCTTGCTTTGTCACCCAGGCGAGAGTGCAGTGGCCAGATCATAGCTCACTGTAACCTTGAGCTCCTGGACTCAGGCGATCTTCCTACCTCAGCCTTCCAAATACCTGGGACTACAGGCATGTGCTACCATATCTGACTTACTTACTTATTTGTTGAGATGAAGTCTTGCTGTGTCACCCAGGCTGGAGTGCAGTAGCATGATCTCTGCTCACTGAAACCTCTGCCTCACAGGTTCAAGCAGTTCTCCTGCCTCAGCCTCCTGAGTAGCTGGGATTACAAGCGTGTACCACCATGCCTGGCTAATTTTTGTATTTTTAGTAAAGACAGTCTTTCACCATGTTGGCCAGGCTGGTCTCAAACTCCTGACCTCATGTAATCCACCTGTCTCGGCCTCCGAAAATGCTGGGATCACAGGCGTGAGCCACCATTGCCAGGCCTATTTATTTTTTTAGAGACAGGGCTTTTGCTGTGTTGCCCAGGCTGATCATGAACTCTCAGGCTCAAGGAATTCTTCTACCTGGGCCTTCCAAAGTGCCAGAATTATAGGCAGGAGCCACTGTTCCTGGCCCCACCCTATAATTAAAAGCAAAGGGTCAGTATGTTAAGTGAAACATGCCAGGCTCAGAAAGATACATACTTCATGTTCTCACATATAGGAACTAAAATGTTGATCTCATGGAAGTAGGGTAGAATCACAGTTACCAGAGGGCCTGGGAAGGGTAGTGGGATGTGGAGAGATGAAAATAACTTGTTTAATGGGTACAAACTTAAAATTAGAAGGAATAAGTTCTAGTGTTTGATAGTTTAGTAGGGTAACTAGAGTTAACAGTATTTTATTGAATATTTCAAAATAGCTAGAAGATTTGAAATGTTTCCAACACACACAAAAAAGATAAATGTTGTAATAGATATTCTAGATACTCTGATCATTACACATTGTCTGCATATACCAAAATATCACATGTATTTCATAAATGTGTTTTTATTTTAATCTTTTTTTTCATTTTAAAGAGGGTTTCACTATGTTGGCCAGGCTAGTCTCGAACTCCTGGCCTCAAGTGATCCACCTACCTCAGCTTCCCAAAGTGCTGGGATTACAGGCATAAGCCACCGCGCCTGGCCATATTTCATAAATATGTACAATTATTTTGTATTAATTTTTAAAAAGGAAAGTATGGGAAAATCTATCTTTAATTCCAACTTCCTTTTGTAACTAGATACCCTTTGGAAAAGGTGCTAAGAGCCAACATTACCCTGGTTTAGCTTGCTGTACAGGTTATTAGAATAGAGAATAACTGGGCATGGGAGTGAGGGTTTCTTCTTTCACAGGTGTAATTTAAAAAGCTGGTTGGTCTAACTGAGTGTCTTTGTCCTATACACCTCTGCAGGTGTGTGAACAGGATTGCTTCTGAAACAAAAGCTTCCACCCAGCCACATCTTGGGAAGAGAATGGCCACTTCTTGGGGCACGGTCTTTTTTATGCTGGTGGTATCCTGTGTTTGCAGCGCTGTCTCCCACAGGGACCAGCAGACTTGGTTTGAGGGTATCTTCCTGTCTTCCATGTGCCCCATCAATGTGAGTGCCAGCACCTTGTATGGAATTATGTTTGATGCAGGGAGCACTGGAACTCGAATTCATGTTTATACCTTTGTGCAGAAAATGCCAGGTGAGTGCAACTGGGACCCTTACCAGAGTCTGTAAATCCACACTTTAGCATCTGTTCCCAGAAACAAATATGCTGAGAGGCTTTTTATGTGAATTAGAGAATTGCATACATAGTGTATGTCTTTTTTCAGAGAACTTTGGACTATAATTGAACACATGGTTTATTTGTTTTGTTTTTTCATTTTTATTTTTTAATTTTTTTGAGTCAAGGTCTTGCTTTGTTGCCCGGTCTGGAATACAGTGGTATGATGACAGATCACTGCAACCTCAATCTCCTGGGCTCAAGCAATCCTTCCACCTCAGTCCTCCAAGTGGAACTACAGGTGTTTGCCACAATGCCCAGCTAATTTTTAAATTTTTTGTAGAGACCTGCCCAGGCTGGTTTCAAACTCCTGGGCTCAAGTGATCCTCCCACCTTGGCCTCCCAAAGTGCTGAGATTATAGGAATGAGATACCATGCTTGGCCAGAACACATGGTTTAATTCAATGTGAAATTAGCAGAGATCTGGGCTGCCTGTAGTCTGAAACCCATGTGTTCAAAAAAAATAGCTATAATTTGTTCTTCCTCTTCTCTAAACATGGGATACTTCAGGGATCCGTAATATTCAGAATATGGGGAGTGGTTTTGGGAGAAGGATCACATGAGAGTTTCGCTGCCATCCTTGGACAAAAGGCTAGGGGACTCTGAGGGTTAACTTTCTCTGAATTGTTAGTGTTTTTTCCTCAGGTCACTTATGGAGCCTGGGGAAAGGAGTAGGAGCTAGATGTCCACCAAATAAATGGTAGCAGGACCCTCAGAGATTGCTCTAGTCCCGCTTTCCAGTTCTCCTGCAAGATATTCCTCACAAGTGGGATCATTTGGGATAACTATGGGAAGTCATAGGAAAGCTTACAGAGCCCAGCATCTGAAGCTGCCTAACTTTTGGTAACCAGCTCTCTCTCTCTTTTGTTCCATGGACAAAATAGGACAGCTTCCAATTCTAGAAGGGGAAGTTTTTGATTCTGTGAAGCCAGGACTTTCTGCTTTTGTGGATCAACCTAAGCAGGTGAGTGTCTTATGATTTGATGTTTAAACTCTCAATGCCTTGATCATTTGACCACACCACTGCTATTAAATATTTCATGCTATTCACTAATGAGATTGAGGTCATGTGTGAGATCAGCTTTCTCTCCTCAGCTAATTTCCTGGATAACATTAATTATATTTCCCAGGCTCTTGAGGGCTGGGTGGAAGAAGGCTAGAAAATTGGTATGGTCATGCAAGGATGACACTAGCTTTTAAGAGATTTCTCCCTATGTATTTACTGTTTAAAATTTTGAGTTAAAGCCATCAATGTGCATTTGTTCATGTAAATGCAGAAGATAGAAATGAAGTTCTATAGGGCACAATGTATAAACATTGTGCAATTGAAGGGACGGAGACCAGTGAATTTCATTTCAGAGTGCCTTGATGCAGGATGGAACCATGCCAATACTTGAGAAATTAGGCAACAACCCATGATGACAAAAATCTTTGGTGGTAGAAGATGAATGGAGAGTTTGTGGCGACTATATTTCACATTTGAGCACCTACAACATACTACATCCTGTGTGTCTGAGACCAACAAAATATAATAAGGCAGAATGTTAAACTTGGGGAGCAAACATAAAGGTATTTATTGTTCACTGTCACAAGAATAATCATTATTCAAATGCCTGATGTTAAAAATAATTTGCATTTGGAGAACTGAAAGGGTGTATTTTCTTAGTTCAGTAGCACGTGGATAGCAAATCTACTAGAAAATTAGGATCTGTTGAAAGCAACTACATTATCAGAAACTGACTTGGCATTTAGAAAAGGTGATTGTGTTGTAGTTGCTAACAATAAATGATCAAAAAACAGTCAGATATCAGAATAAAAGTTTACTCAGGGAAACATTGGATTTAAAATAATAGTTTTCATTTATTACAAATTGAGCATCTACTGTGTGCCATATATATAGGTGCTGGTGATACAAAAATGAGCCTGACATGTTCTTTAGGAGATCATAAAAAAATGTCGCATCATTACTGCCACACCTTATGTGGCAACTACACTCACTATGCCTCATACACACAATAGTTATTGGTGGTTGAAGGCACATCGACCATCCCACACTTGAGGAAACCAAGTCCCAACAAGGCCAAGTGACCTAAGTTAGGCCACAGGGTTAGCATGCAAGTCTTCTGTCTCTAATGCCTGTGTTTTCTTCACTATACCCAACTCTCCAACCTAAAGCTGATTTATACGAAACATGAAATAATCAAGTAAAATGACCATAATATAAAAGAAAAATTTGGCCTGGCATGGTGGCTCATGCCTATAATCCCAGCACTTTGGGAAGCTGAGGCAGTTGGATCACTTGAGGTCAGGCATTCGAGACCAGCCTGGTCAACATGGTGACACCCCATCTCTACTAAAAAATATAAAAATTAGCTGGGTGTCGTGGCGCTCGCCTGTAATCCGAATTACTTGGGTGGCTGAGGCACGAGCATCACTTGAACCCGGGAGGTGGAGGTTGCAGTTAGCCAAGATCATGCCACTGCACTCCAGCCTGGGGAACAGCAAGACTGTCTCTCAAAAAAAAGAATTTTTATTAGGACTGTCAAAATTAAGTGGATTCTCTCTTTTTTTTTTGAGATGGAGTCTTGCTCTTTTACGCAGGCTGGAGTGCAGAGGCATGAGCTTGGCTCACTGCAGCCCCTGCCTTTTAGGTTCAAATGATGCTCCTGCCTCAGCCTCTCAAGTAGCTGGGACTATAGGCATGTGCCACCAAGCCCAGCTTATTTTTGTATTTTTTAGTAGTAATGGGGTTTCACCATGTTGGTCAGGCTGATCCTGAACTCCTGACCTCAAGTTATCCAATTCTCCTCCTTCAAAGTGGCCCACTTCTCTAGGTTTCTCCTGCTACAGAGCAGAGAGGGGTTGGAGTCCTGTGCCACCTCCCTCCTCTTGTTCCCACAAAGTATGTTGACAGAATAGACCAGTGCCAGCCACTAAATTGACATCAGATGAATGGGTTATCTTTTTTTTAAGGGTGCTGAGACTGTTCAAGGGCTCTTAGAGGTGGCCAAAGACTCAATCCCCCGAAGTCACTGGAAAAAGACCCCAGTGGTCCTGAAGGCAACTGCAGGACTACGTTTACTGCCAGAACACAAAGCCCAGGCTCTGCTCTTTGAGGTAAGTTTTAAAACTGCATCTGGGATAATTCTGCCCTTTTCCCTATATGAATACTTCGATTTTTAGCCTTTTGGAATGTGACCACTACCTTCAATATTCCACCACTGCCAAAGCACTGTGATGATTCTGACTTCTTCTTATATATAGCTAATTATTTACATTTTTAACTATCACTCTTAAATGTATAGAGCTTTTTCTAAAAAATTTAAAGTACTGGCTGGGCGCGGTGGCTCAAGCCTGTAATCCCAGCACTTTGGGAGGCCGAGGCGGGTGGATCAGGAGGTCAAGAGATCGAGACCATCCTGTTCAACATGGTGAAACCCCGTCTCTACTAAAATAACAAAAAATTAGCTGGGCATGGTGGCACGTGCCTGTAATCCCAGCTACTCAGGAGGCTGAGGCAGGAGAATTGCCTGAGCCCAGGAGGCAGAGGTTGTGGTGAGCCGAGATCATGCCATTGCACTCCAGCCTGGGTAACAAGAGTGAAACTCCATCTCACACACACACACACACAAAAATTAAAGTACTTTCTATCTAGGATAGTCTTCATTCTTTTAACTTTTTAAAGCAGAATCAATTTGTTTTTAATCAACTTTATTAAGATAAACTTATGTACAATAAAATGTATCTATTTTAGCCCCAGCACAGTGGCTCACACCTGTAATCCTAGCACTTTGGGAGGCCAAGGTGGGCAGATTGCCTGAGATGAGGTGTTCGAGACAAGCCTGGTTAACATGGCGAAACCCTGTCTCTACTAAAAATACAAAAATTAGCTGGGCATTGTGGTGCACACCTGTAGTCCCAGCTACTTGGGAGGCTGAGGCAGGAGAATTGCTTCAACCAGGAGGCGGAGGTTGCATTAAGCTGAGATCATGCCATGGCACTCCAGCCTGCACAACAGTGAGACTCCATCTCAAAAAAAAGAAAAAATTATAAGCTTGAGTGCAGTGGTGCAATCTTGGCTCACTGCAACCTCTACCTCCCAGGTTTAAGCAATTCTCCTACCTCAGCCTCCCAATTAGCTGAGATTACAGGCATGTGCCACCACACCTGGCTAATTTTTATAATTTTTTAAAAATAGATACGGGGTTTCAGAACCATGTTGCCCAGGGTTGGTTTCGAACTCTTGAGCTCAGGCAGTCCACCTGCCTTGGCTTCCCAAAGTGCTAAGATTATTGGTACAGATGGGAGCCACCACACCTGGTCGTCATATATTTCTTTTTTTTTTTTTCCTTTTTTTTTGAGACAGAATCTCACTCTGTTACCCAGGCTAGAGTGCAGTATGATCTTAGCTCACTGCAACCTCTGCCCCCCGGGTTTAAGCAATTCTTCAGCCTCAGCTTCCTGAGCAGCTGGGATTACAGACACATGCCACCACACCTGGCTAATTTTTGTATTTTTAGTAGAGACAGGGTTTCACTATGTGGGCCAGGGTGGTCTTGAATTCCTGGCCTAAAAGTGATCCACCTGCTCCAGCCTCCGAAAGTGCTGGGATTACAGGCATAAGACACTACACCCAGCCCCAAGTCATATATTTCAAACTCCTTTCTTATTCAGATAAAAAAATTTAGAGAGTTTTGTTAAACTCAGTATTTTTATTCTTATTTATTTATTTATTTGAGAGATGGAGACTTGCTATGTCACCCAGGCTGGAGTAGAATGGTATGATCTTGGGTCACTACAACCTCTGCCTCTCAGGTTCAAGGGTTCAAGCGATTCTCCTGCCTCAGCTTCCCAAGTAGCTGGGGCAGGTATGCGCCACCACTTTCAGCTAATTTTTGTATCTTTTAGTAGAGATGGGGTTTCACTATATGTTTCCCAGGCTAGCCTCAAACTCCTACCCTCAGGTGATCTGCCTTCCTAGGCCTCCCAAAGCACTGGGATTACAGGTGTGAGACATTGTGTCCAGCCAAACTCAGTATTTATAAATTTTATTGTACATATTTGTTATGCAATAACATGTAAGTTAATAAGATTTAAATTTCATGTTGTGAAGAATATAAGCAGAATCTCATTATAACAAAAAATCAAGCTGGGTGCAGTGGTTCAAGCCTGTCATCTCAACATTTTGGGAGGCCAAGGCAGGAGGATTGCTTGAGGCCAGGAGTTTGAGACCAGTCCAGGCAACAAAGCAAGACCCCTATTTCTGTAAAGAAAAGTAAGACCAGGTGTGGTGGCTCATGCTGGAAATCCCAGCACTATAGGAGGCCGTGGCAGGCAGATGACCTGAGGTCAGGAGTTTGAGACCAGCATGGCCAACATGTTTGAAACCCCATCTCTACTAAAAATACAAAAATTAGCTGGGTGTGGTGGCTCACATATGTAGTCCCAGCTACTCAGGAGGCTGAGGCAGAGGAGAATCACTTGAACCTGGGAGGCGGAGGTTGTAGTGAGCTGAGATCATGCCACTACACTTAAGCCTGGGTGATTGAAAAAAAGAAAATTGAAACTAAAAATCACAGCAGGCTGGGCACAGTGGCTCACACCTGTAATCCCAGTACTTTGGGAGGCTGAGGCGGGAGGATCACCTGAGGTGAGGAGTTCAAGACCAGCCTAGCTAACATGGTAAAACCCCATCTCTACTAAAAATACAAAAATTAGCTGGGTGTGGAGGCAGGTGCCAGTAATCCCAGCTACTCAGGAGGCTGAGGCAGGAGAATCACTTGAACACGGGAAGTGGAGGTTGCAGTGAGCCAAGATCAAGCCACTGCACTCCAGTCGGGGTGATAGAGCTAGACTCCATCTCAAAAAAAAAAAATTTGTGGGAAGAATATTCCAGGCTAAGCAAACAGCAGGGGCAAAGACCAGAGGCAGGAATTTGGTTGGTATGTTAGGAACAGCATCCAGGTCAACATAGCTGAAGAGGAATGAGTGATATGAGAGATAAATGGGAGGTAAAGTCAGAGAGGCAGGGCTAAGGGGTGCTTATCATGTAGGATCTTAAAGGCCAGTATAATCACTTTGCCTTTTTTTTTTTTTTTTTGAGATGAAGTTTTGCTGCTGTTGCCCAGGTTGCAGTGCCATGGCTCTATCTCAGCTTACTGCAACCTCCACCTCCCAGGTTCAAGCAGTTCTGCTGCCTCAGCTGGGATTACAGGCATGCACCATCACACCCAGCTAAATTTGTATTTTTAGTAGAGATGGGATTTCACCATGTTGGTCAAGCTGGTCTCCAAATCCTGACCTCAGGTGATCGCCTGCACTTTGGCTTTCTCTGTAAGAAGGAAGCCATGGCCAGGCTCAGTGGCTCATGCCTGTAATCCCAGCACTTTGGGAGGCCAAGGTGGGCAGATCACAAGGTCAGGAGATTGAGACCATCCTGGCCAACATGGTGAAACCCTGTCTCTAATAAAAAATACAAAAATTAGTTGGGCATGGTGGCGCACACCTGTAGTCCCAGCTACTTGGGAGGCTGAGGCAGGAGAATTGCTTGAACCTGTGAGGCAGAGGTTGCAGTGAGCCAAGATCGCACCACTGCACTCCAACCTGGCGCCTGGCAACAGAGAGAGACTCTCCCAAAAAAAAGAAAAAGAAAAAGAAGGAAGCCACTGGAAGGTTTTTTGTTTTTCAGTGGTTTTTTTTGTTTGTCTGTTTTTAGACAAAGTCTCACTCTCGTTGCCCAGGCTGGAGTGCAATGGTGTGGTCTCAGCTCACCGCACCTTTTGCCTCCTGGGTTTAAGCGATTCTCCTGCCTCAGCCTCCTGAGTGGCTGGGATTACAGGTGCCCACCACCATTCTAATCTTTTTGTATTTTTAGGAGAGACAGGGTTTCACCATGTTGGCCAGTCTGGTCTCGAACCTCAGATGATCCACCGACTTCTGCCTCCCCAAGTGCTGGGATGACAGGTGTGAGCCACCATGCCCAACTGCCACTGGAAGGTTTTGAGCCAAGCAAAGATGTGATTTGACATCCTTTTTTTTTTTTTTTTTTTTTTTTTTTTTTTTTTTTAAGTCTCACTTCATTGCTGGAGTGCAGTGGCCTGATCTCGGCTCACTGCAATTTCTGCCTCCCGAGTTCAAGCGATTTCTCATGCCTTAACCTCCCAAGTAGCTAGGATTACACCACGCCCAGCTAATTTTTGTATTTTTAGTAGACGGGGTTTTATCAGGTTGGCCAGGCTGGTCTCAAACTCCTAACCTCAGTTTTACAGGGGGATTACAGGTGTGAGCCACTGTGCTCAGCCAACATCCATTTTTAAGGCACCGTTCTGGCTGCTGTTTTGAGAATAAACTGAAGGATGGGGGAGCAAAGTGGAGAAGGCAAGAGTAGAAACTCTCTGGCTGGGCTTCATCCTGTTCATTTATTTGTCTTTTCTTTAAAAGTTCGTTTATAAGGCCGGGTGCAGTGGCTCACGCCTGTAATCCCAGCACTTTGGGAGGCCGAGGCGGGTGGATCACGAGGTCGAGATTGAGACCATCCTGGTCAACAAGGTGAAACCCCATCTCTACTAAAAAAAATACGAAAAATTAGCTGGGCATGGTGGCGCATGCCAGTAATCCAGCCACTTAGAAGGCTGAGGCAGGAGAATTGCCTGAACCCAGGAGGCGGAAGTTTCGGTGAGCGGAGATCGCGCCATTGCACTCCAGCCTGGGTAACTAGCGAAACTCTGTCTCAAAAAAAAAAAAAAAAAAAAAAGTTTGTTTATAGATCACTTAACTGGTTTTACCTGGTTGAAACAGTCCAGAGGTGGTCATGTGATATGTTTCATCTCATCAGATATGAATGAGAACAGCAAACAGACGAGAGTTCTTCCTTTTCCTATTTGGAGAATTCTTTTTTCTTTCCCTTGATAATTATATAATTATATAAACATAAGGCATAACACCCATATCAGTGGCCTATATTATGGAGGCGTAAGATGTTTTTGTAAGATTTTCATTCTCATCTCCTGAAACAGGATTCCTTAAGTCTAGATCTGGAGTCTCCTCATACTCTAGAGGCCCTAGTCATGTGCCAGAATCCGACAGGAGCTGGTAGTAGGGTACCTCAGCCCTTAGGTGTGAACTCCATCACCACGGTGGGTTCATGTCAGCTTATCTAAGGAATGGAGTGGGAAGGCTCTTCCTAGTTTCCAATGTATGTCCAGGTAGAGTTCATCAGGTTTAAAAAGTTACAGGGTCCTGATTTGAGCTGGTAGTGTTAAGTGTATGCCTTTCCCTAGGTCCAGTTCACTTATACATTTAGATAGTTTGATTTAGCTTTACTTAAAGTCAAAGGAATCCCTGTTTGTGTTTTTGTAAGAAATTGGTAATGGCTTGCCTAGCTTCTTTAATTTCTTAGGGCAAAGGAATGAGTTTTGCCAACATTTTATCTAGGGAAAATGGAGTCATTTTCTAAGTCTTACAGGACACTGTCAAAATATGAAAATCTATTTTATTGCCTTAGGGAATCCTTTTTTAATTTTCCTTTTTCTCTAGGTAAAGGAGATCTTCAGGAAGTCACCTTTTCTGGTACCAAAGGACAGTGTTAGCATCATGGATGGATCCTATGAAGGTGGGAGAGGTGTTGATATGTGTTCCAGTGGGAGAGAGGCAGGGTCAGTGAAAGATCTAACCAGAGGAACTGGGGCCAGGGACAGGGTCCTGAAGAGAAAGGAATAAACAGGAGGAATGAGAAAGCAGGAAATAGAAGACAGGGAGAAGGGAACATGTGCTGTAGACTTGAAATTTAGAGAGAAAAAAACAAGGATGGGTCAGGAAAGAGAAAAAAAATGCTCTGGGATGTAATCTTGTCTTTCTTTCTTTTTAGGCATATTAGCTTGGGTTACTGTGAATTTTCTGACAGGTAATACATCCTCAAGTTTACCTTTAGACCTTAACTAGCTTTTTATATGCATAGTCAGAAGAGTGAAAAGTGCTTTCTTTCATTCTGTATTGTTTCTTTTTCTTTAAAAAAGGAAAAGAGGCTGGGTGTGGCGGTTCATCCCTGTAATTCCAGTGCTTTGGGAGGCTGAGGTGGGCAGATCACTTGAGGCCAGGAGTTCAAGACCAGCCTGGCCAATATGGCAAAAACCCGTCTCTACCAAGAATACAAAAATTAGCTGGGTGTGGTGGTGCACGCCTGTGGTCCCAGCTACTTGGGAAGTTGGAGAATCACTTCAACCCAGGAGGCAAAGGTTGCAGTGAGCTGAGAGCAAAGATTGTGCCACTGTACTCCAGTCTGGATAGTAGAGCAAGACTGTCTCAAAAAAGGACTTCAAAATAAAAAAATAAATAACCTGCCTTCAAGGCCTCTGCTGCAACGAGAGTCCTGAGTTGACAGTCACTTGCAACTTTGGAGCTGGGGAGTAGTGGAATATTTATGGAATACCTTCAGTGTATGATAGGAGCAAGAGAGACAAGTGTTGGGCTGCCCAGGATGTGGAGGATATTTAGAGCTAGCTCTCATTTGACAGGTCAGCTGCATGGCCACAGACAGGAGACTGTGGGGACCCTGGACCTGGGGGGAGCCTCCACCCAAATCACGTTTCTGCCCCAGTTTGAGGTGAGTCATTTAATGAAGATCTGGTTAGAGGTACACTTAGCAGGCATATCATGGTGCCAAGAAAGTGGCACCTTATTTTCAGACAGCAGCTCTACCACACTTAGGCAGAGTCAATTAATAATTGGGTGAACATTTCTTTGCCATCTCACTGTTTAGAATCCCTTCAGTTCCTCAAGCCTAGTGAGATTAGCAGCTTAATCTGTCTTCATCTCTGATTTTTTGCTGGGAGGGATGGGGTGGTGGTATGAACATCCTCAGGTAATTACAGATTCTGAATAGCCTTTTTGCTTTTTCTGATTTGCAGAAAACTCTGGAACAAACTCCTAAGGGCTACCTCACTTCGTTTGAGATGTTTAACAGCACCTATAAGCTCTATACACATAGGTGAGGAGGGGGCAGGGAAGAATAATATTTCATGTTGTATGATTCTTCTAACTTTTCAAAGCGTTCTCAAATCTGTTATTGTATTTGATAAGCAAAAACAAAGTCTTTGCCAATTCCCTAAAGCCTATCAACTGAAACCCAGGCTACTTACAAGGCCCAAGGAACCTGAGAGCCTTCTCCATTCTTGGCCTTAAAATATATGACTTAAGAGTCAAAAGTTTTTGGTTGGGTGTAGTGGCTTCATTTCCGTAATCCCAGCACTTTGGGAGGCCAAGGCGAGCGGATTACCTGAGGTCAGGAGTTTGGACCAGCCTGGGCAACATTGTGAAACCCCCTCTCTATACCCCCTCTCTACTAAACATGCAAAAATTAGCCGGATATAACAGTGTGCACCTGTAATCCCAGCTTCTTAGGAAGCTGAGGCAGGAGAATCGTTTGTATCCGGGAGGCGGAGGTTTCAGTGAGCCAAGATCATGCCACTGCACTCCATCCAGCCAGGGCGAAAAGAGCAAGACTCGGTATGAGGAAAAAAAAAAAAAAAAAGTCAAAAATTTTCTCTAGACCAGGCACAGTGGCTCATGCCTATAATGCTAGCACTTTGGGAGGCCAAGACGGTTGGGTCACCCAAGGTCAAGAGTTCAGGACCAGCCTGGCCAACATGGTAAAACCCCATCTTTACTAAAAATACAAAGATTAGCTGGGTGTGGTGGCACACGCCTGTAATCCCAGCTACTGAGGAGGCTGAGGCAGGAGAATCACTTGAACCCAGGGAGCGGAAGTTGCAGTGAACTGAAATTTCACCATTTAACTCCAGCCTGAGTGAAAGAGCAAAACTCCATCTCAAAATTCTCTAGGGAGAGGACACTTAAAGAAGGCTCAGGCAAAGGTCCTTCCCAGCTCCTTTGAGCTAGCCTTCCAATGTTCAGAATCCAGCCTGGAATTTGATCCCAATTGGGACTGGGAGCTAAGCTAAAGAGAGCTTTTCTGGGAATGGTTCCTAGTGTGGGACCCTAGGAATTGTCACTGTCTCTGGCCTTTGAATGATAACTATGGGGAATTCTTTCTGCATAGCCTTCATCCAAACTGTGCAGAAGTTACCCCTTGTCGACCATAGGAGATGAATATGTCACAGAGACAGAACAAGGTTTTCATCTTTCCAGAGGGAAACAGAAACCATGTTACTTTTGAAAGCGGTAGCTTTAGGCTAGAGAACTTCAGGACCAGCATGAAACTGGCCAATCTTGTATTTTACAGTTACTTGGGATTTGGATTGAAAGCTGCAAGACTTGCAACCCTGGGAGCCCTCGAGACAGAAGGTTTGTCTGGGTACCTATGCCAGGTGGGGGATGGTGAGGGCGACACAGATACTCTGCTTGCTTCTTCCCTTCCTTGATTGGAGGAAAAGCTTATCCTGAATCGTGAAGCAAATGTTATATAATGGACCTAATAACAGCAAATTCCTTTTCTATTTGATAAGTTTAGAAGTTTTGGTGTATATTATTAGCCATTTGTAGAACGAAGTCTACTTATACAGGGGAACAGCCTATGTCTAGGAGGCTGAAGTGTCTGCAGAAATCCCAGGCTTTAAGAATACATTTGGCAGGAGCTTGCTCAAGCCCTGAGCTTTACGTTGGAGGCACAGGAAGCAGGGTCCCTTCTACATGCAGGTGGAACAACTGAGTAACTCCATCTCTTCACAGTTGCGCTCAGGCAGAACTGGGTTCAGTCCCAGTGTTGTCATTTGAGGCACATTAGTTAACCTATCTGTGCCCCTTCCCTCACATTAAATGAGAATTTGCATTTAAGGCACTTTGTACAGTAAGCTATTATTGGAGTGACATCTATTTTGCATTTCAGAGCTTACAAAACATCTTCAAGTGTATTTCATTTAAGCCTCTCAGTAACCAGTGTGGAAGGTAGCATAGCATTTCTTTCCTGTTTTTAGAAAGGTGTGGAGACTTACTCTATTGTAGGTTTTGGATCTCTTTGAGATGTGATGAAATCCATGGATCCCTTTGGCAAAAGCACATGTGCATGAAAATTTGCTTCTGTTTTCAGGGGATTCACCAACCCCACAAAGCCTGTCTGTGAATCTTGAGTTAAGGATTTCTGTCACAGGATGTGGTCAAGGAATGAATTTCATAAGATTTTAAGGCCCAGCTGCCATGGTGATTCTTTGTCTCCCCAGTGGCTCTTTGCTTGACTTCCTCCCTCTCTCTCACTTAACTTACCTCTTACCTTGTGCCCTGGATTCCTTCAGGGACTGATGGACGCACTTTCCGGAGTGCCTGTCTACCGAGATGGTTAGAAGCAGAGTGGATCTTTGGGGGTGTGAAATACCAGTATGGTGGCAACCCAGAAGGCAAGTGATGTTTTTTCACTAAAGTTACCTTTACAATGGAAGTTCTGGAAAAGTCCCACAGGAAACTTCTTCCAGAGCTCAAGAAAAGCTTATCTTGTTGCAGGGACTTGTTCCAAAAATCTTGGTGTGCCTCCAAGGACTGATGTGAAGTGACAGTGAACAAGGCACCTGTCATACTGCATCAGACAAGTGTCATGGACCCATTAGATAACTTGCACTTAGCCAAGTGCTATGGTGCACATCGTTTTTTTTTTTTTTTGAGATGGAGTTTCACTCTTGTTACCCAGGCTGGAGTGCAATGGCGCGATCTCGGCTCACCGCAACCTCTGCCTTCTGGGTTCAGGCAATTCTCCTGCCTCAGCCTCCTGAGTAGCTAGGATTACAGGCACACACCACTATGCCCAGCTAATTTTTTATATTTTTAGTAGAGATGGGTTTCACCATGTTGACCAGGATGGTCTCCATCTCTTGACCTCGTGATCCACCCGCCTCGGCCTCCCAAAGTGCTGGGATTACAGGCATGAGCCACCGCACCCAGCCCTATGGTGCACATCTATAGTCCCAACTACTCAAAGGTTGAGGCAAGAGGATCACTTGAGCCCATGAGTTCAAGGCTATAGTGTGCAATGCCACTGCACTCCAGCCTAGGCAAGAGGGAGACCCCACCTCTTACAGATTAATTAAGAAACCTATTTTAGCTGGGTGTCGTGAGTGACGCCTATAATCCCAGTACTTTCAGAGACTGAGGTGGGCAGATCATGAGTTTAAGAGATGGAGACCATCCTGGCCAACATCGTGAAACCCCATCTCTACTAAAAAATACAAAAATTAGCTGGGCATGGTGGCATGTGCCTGTCCCAGCTACTCAGGAGGCTTAGGCGCGAGAATCGCTTGAACCTCGGAGGTGGAGGTTGCAGGAACCAAGATCGTGCCACTGCACTCCACCCTGGTGACAGAGTTGAGGTTCTGTCTCAACAACAACAAAAAAACCTATTCTAAGCCTAGGTCTAATGCAGCAGTGTGAAACCCCATTTAGTTAATGGTTAACTATTTAAAGTATAGTAAAACTTAAAACTGAGATAAGAATGATTTATTAAAGGTATATACCACAATATCAAGAAATGAGCCTGGGTGCAGTGGCTCAGGCCTATAATCCCAGCACTTTGGGAGGCCGAGGCAGGTGGATCACGAGGTCAAGAGATCGAGACCATCCCGGTCAACATGGTGAAACCCTGTCTCTAATAAAAATACAAAAAAATTAGCTGGGCATGGTGGCGTGTGCCTGTAATCCCAGCTACTTGGGAGGCTGAGGCAGGAGAATTGCTTGGACCCAGGAGGTGGAGGTTGCGGTGAGCCGAGATTGCACCATTGCACTCCAGCCTGGGTAACAAGAGCGAAACTCCGTCTCAAAAAAAAACAAAACAAAACAAAAAGAAATGAACTTTCCAGTGAAGGAAGCATGTGAGCCCTTTAGCTACTTGTTTATAAATGCTATGGAATGTAATGCTAGGCAGTAGCACGAGGTTGGCCATGGTTTAGTGAATACAGATTAGGCAGGGGAGTGGCCATGGAGAAGCAGAGCCATGAGGCTGCAGACGTTGCTCATCTTTGTTTTGAAGCCTCTTGTCCCGAGCCTCAGCCTTCTCCTGCTTTCTTTGACCCTTCTGCTGTTCCCTCATTGTCTCCAGCAGCTCGCCTCAGAGAGAGTCCCCTTCCCCCAGCACTGTTCTCACCTTACCCCTGTGCACCTTTGCCTGGCAGGGGAGGTGGGCTTTGAGCCCTGCTATGCCGAAGTGCTGAGGGTGGTACAAGGAAAACTTCACCAGCCAGAGGAGATCCAGAGAAGCTCCTTCTATGCTTTCTCTTACTATTATGACCGAGCTGTTGACACAGACATGATTGGTGAGTTCACCTCAGGTGTCCAAAGAGGAAGGTAGACAGGGCTGTGGTGGAGAAGGTAAAGGAGAAAGAGCACTTGAGGTGCTTGTTGGGGTGATTGCCCACTTCTTCTCAAGTACACTCGAACAAAAGGGTGGAAGTGACTTAGAATCTTTTGGAGGTGAGAGATGACTGAAACAACTATATGAGGTCTTTTTTCTTTTTAACGTGTTTATTGAGGTATAATTGGCATACAATAAGTGTACACTTACAGTATACAATTTAAGTTTTGTCATGTATACACCCATGAATCCATCACTACATTGAAGATAATAAACATATCACCCCAAATTTCTTCCTGTCTGTTGATGATCACTTTTCTTATCACAAAAGTAGTATTTTTGCTTAACTGTCAAAGTATATGTACATGATATGTCATGGCCTGAGAAAGATGAATTAATTTCCAATTGTTGTGTTTTATGGGTCTGTTTTTTTATTGTGGTTAAATATACATAACATGGAATAGATTATAAATAAAATATGGTGCATAGATTACATTACGTACATGTATATAATGAATTAATTTCCTTATGCTTCCTTGAAGGCATTTTGATATCAGCTAATGTTCTGTTTTATTTCAGATTATGAAAAAGGGGGTATTTTAACAGTTGAAGATTTTGAAAGAAAAGCCAGGGAAGGTGAGTATCGAGGGAAGCCCTTGAAGGCAAGCCTATGAGACTGCTTGCTAACTCTGGTGACCAAAAGCATCTCAGTCAGCTCAGAAGGCGAGTCAGAAGACTGGTTTCAGTCAAGTGCGGTGGCTCACGCCTGTAATCTCAGGACTTTGGGAGGCCGAAGCTGGCAGATCATGAGGTCAAGCGATTGAGGCCATCCTGGCCAACATGGTGAAACACTATCTCTGCTAAAAATACAAAAATTAGCTGGGCATGGTGGCACGCACCTGTAGTCCCAGCTACTTGGGAGGCTAAGTCAGGAGAATTGCTTGAACCTGGAGGTGGAAATTGTAGTGAGCCAGGATTGTACCACTGCACTCCAGCCCGGGCAACAGAGCGAGAATCCAACTAAAAAACAAGCAAAAAAAAACTTTAGGGAAATGGTGAAGACCTTCCACATTTCTTGCTTTCTTTTTTTAAATTGAAATAGTGTTATCAGTGTTAATAAAACACTAAGCATCAAAAGACATGGGAAACAGCAACAGAAGCTTCCTTGAGAGACTCAGTCAAAACTACCAGAGAGGTAGGCACAGTGGCTTGAGCCGGTAGTCTCGGCCACTTGGGAGGCTGAGGCAGGAGGATAGTGTGAACCTAGGGTCTTGAGCCTGCAAGGAGCTGTGATCATGCCATTGCACTCCAGCCTGGGTGACAGCATGAGACCTTCTCTCTAAAAAAAATAATTAATTAATTTTTAAAAATTAAAAAATAAAATGCAAATGATCTTATCCAGTAGCCCATAATAGGGTTAAATAATATTTTCCTGTCTTCTGGGCCTCAGCATTAATCATAGGTAAGGGACTTAGAACTAAACCCCCACAATAGGTCATAGAAACTTAAGCAAATAAACTAGAGCCCATGTAAATTTGAATAGATAATCAAAGCAGAGATGTGCAAGTTCTTAAGAAGCTGCAGTCTTCCAGAGGCAGTCAGTGCAGTCTAGTCTCTGAGATGCCTAGGCGTTACCCAAAGGGAGACTTCTGCCTTGTTTATTCTACTTCTTCCCTCCCATCTTCTTTTTCTGAGACGGTCTTGCTCTGTCACCCTGGCTGGAGTGTAGCGGAGCAATCTCAGCTCACTGCAACCTCTGCCTTCCGCATTCAAGTGATTCTCCTGCTTCAGTCTCCTGAGTAGCTGGAATTACAGGTGCACATCACCATGCCCGGCTAATTTTTGTATTTTTAGTAGACATGGGGTTTCACCATGTTGGCCAGGCTGGTCTTGAATTCCTGGCCTCAAGTGATCTGCCTACCTTGGCATCCCAAAGTGGTGGGATTACAGGCATGAGCCACTGCGCCCAGCCTGCTTATTATACTTCTAAGAGAAAATCCTACACCTCTCAGTTAGTTGCAAACGTGAACTCCACTGTTCACTCTCTTTTTCAGTGTGTGATAACTTGGAAGACTTCACCTCAGGCAGTCCTTTCCTGTGCATGGATCTCAGCTACATCACAGCCCTGTTAAAGGATGGCTTTGGTTTTACAGATAGCACAGTCTTACAGGTAAGAGACAGGACACCAGAGTCCCTTAACAGTCCTCTTTTGTCAGGGTTGAGGAGGAGTAAGAGTTTGTTCAGTAATCAGAGTAGCTAGAAGTGAAATTATAAGGTATTTTTGTTTGGGCTATGAACAAAGTACTGTGCTGGGCACCAGGAATATGGGAAATTACCTCCATGTAGTGGCAGCCTCTGAGTATGTTACCAGGCAAACTATCAGAGGTCACAGAACAGAAATACTAGCAGCCCAAATTTAGATGCCAAGTCACATGGTTGATATTTTTTTGAGACAGTCTCTTGTTGCTCAGGCTGGAGTGCAATGGCATGATCTCGGCTCACTACCTTTGCCTCCCGGGTTCAAGCGATTCTCCTGCCTCAACTTTCCAAGTAGCTGGGATTATAGGCATGTGCCACCATGCCCAGCTAATTTTTTTTATATTTTTAGTAGAGATCGGATTTCACCCTGTTGGCCAGGCTGTTCTTGAACTCCGGACCTCAGGTGATCTGCCTGCCTTGGCCTCCCAAGTGTTGGGATTACAGGCATAAACCACCATGCCTGGCCTACATGGTTTATTAAATCAATTTAGAACTCAGAGTGAGAGGCAAGGGGAAAGAGATGGAGAGGTAAACACACAAGACATGGTACAAGCAGGATGGAGTGCCACGCTTTCTGAATCCTGGGTTCTGTTTGTCCTGGGTTTGCATGTCCTGCCTATCTCTGCTGCTGATGGAGTAGTTACATGTACTAGAGCTTTGGTCATGGGAGCACAAAGACAAGGCAGGGCAAATAGGGCAAGTTTGTGTGCCTGAGGCTCCCACACAAACTTGCCCTATTTGGAGAGGCCCTGGGGGGCAGACACACCTGGCCAGTAGCATTACCTCAGCCTGTAAGATGGGTTTTTTTGGCAGAGGATGTGAGGGACCAAAAGGGTGTCACCAGTGAATGGCTTATTTAAGGCCTCATGAACACTGAATGCCTCATGCATGTCATGTGTCATATATTTCATGTGTGCCTCATATATTTAGTCCCTCTTGAATCTTAGGTCTGTTTGTCCTCCTGTTTCTCTCCATCTGTTTGAGTACATGCAGGCTCTACTTTATCTGTAGTAAGTGATTTATCCCCAGTTTTGGGCACAGTGACTAGTCTCAATTATATTAGGTCAATAGAGAACAATCCACTGGTTTACAAATCTTTTTTGATGATGGTGGGATCTTTATTCAACAAAAGCTTATGTAGAATATCAGTAATATGGCTGGGCCTGATGGCTGATGCCTGTAATCCCAGCACTTTGGGAGGCCGAGGCAGGGGGATCACCTGAGGTCGGGAGTTCGAGACCAGCCTGGCCAATATGGTGAAACCCTTTCTCTACTAAAAATATAAAAATCAGCCCAGCGTGGTGGCGGGTACCTGTAATCCCAGCTACTCGGGAGGCTGAGACAGGAGAATCACTTGAACCCAGGAGGTGGAGATTGCAGTGAGCTGAGATCATGCCACTGTACTCCAGCCTGGGCAACAAAGAGTGAAATTCCATCTCAGAAAAACACAAAAATCAGTATTACAAAACTGGTAAAAGTAGAGCTATTCTAATTGAAGCAGAGATTAGAAGCCTGAAACTCCTCTATCACTTGGCCTCCCTTTTTCCTTTGAAGCATTTCCAAGAAACCACTAAACATCGATAAACACTAATCTAATCCTTTTTTTTTTTTTTTTTTTGAGAGGGAGACTTGCTCTTGTCACTCAGGCTAGAGTGCAGTGGTGCAATCTCAGCTCACTGCAACCTCCACCTCCCAGGTTCAAGTAATTCTCCTACCTCAGCCTCCCGAGTAGCTGGGATTACAGACACATGCCACCATACCAGGTAATTTTTGAATTTTTTAAAGTAGAGACAGGGTTTCATTATGTTGGCCAGGCTGGTCTCAAACTCCTGACCTCGTGATCCACCTGCCTCAGCCTCCCAAAGTGCTGGGATTACAGGCATGAGCCACCATGCCCAGCCCCTCTTCTTACATAGTTAAGGAATTTGGGTCTAAAGTTTTGCCTAAGGCTTAGAATGTCTTAAATGTCCTGTTTGGTTATTTTTTTTTCCTTTTTTTTTGACACAGTTTTGCTCTTGTTGCCCAGGCTGGAGTGCAATGGTGCAATCTCAGTTCACTGCAACCTCCACCTCCTGGGTTCAAGTGATTCTCCTGCCTCAGCTTCCCAAGTAGCTGGGATTACAGGCATGTGCCACCATGCCTGGCTAATTTTGTATTTTCAGTGGAGATGGGTTTCATAATGTTGGTCAGGCTGGCCTCCAACTCCTGATTTCAGGCAATCCACCCATCTCAGCCTCCCAAAGTGCTGGGATTATAGACATGAGCCACTGCTCTCCATCTTTTTTTTTTTTTGGAGACAGGGTCTTGCCCTGTCACCCAGGCTGGAGTACAGTGACATGATCTCAGCTCACTGCAACCTCTGCCTCTGCCTCTGGGGCTCAAGTGACCGAAACCTCAGCCCACCGAGTAGCTGGGACTACAGGTGTGTGCCACCAGTCCTGGCTAATTTTTTTGTAGAGATGGGGTTTTGCCATGTTTCCCAGGCTGGTCTTGAACTCCTGGGCTCAAGCAATCTACCTGCCTTGGCCTCCCAAAGTGCTGGGAGTACAGGCATAAGCCACTGTGTGTTGGCCCATGTTTGGTTATTATTAGTGCTTATAAAAGGCACCTGCTTACATAGCAGGAGTTGAGAAGCTTTGTTTTGCTTCATACTCCTAAATCTATTCTCACCTCCTGATCATGCCCTTTTTTTTTTGGCCTGGGCTTGCTGGATCCTCCAGATGGTCTTGGGGATCTCTAGGTTGTAGTTGGAAGGCAGGACCTGGACTGCTGCCGGCAGCTGGGGGTTGTTCAGGATCTCAGGGAGGATCTGATTGGCTACGCGGCCCTGAAGGACCGGACCAAGAAAACATGCAGGAACATATGCTGGTCTAGGTGCTAAGGATCTTCCTGTGCAGGGAATGTTAAAACTTCATTTTGTCACTAACAATTGGCCAAATATTAACAAGAAGTTACAAAAAATAAATTGATTACTAGAGAACTAAAAAGATAAACCTCCAAAAGAGCTTCTAAGACAGAGAGGGGAAAAAAAAATCCTAGAGGAGAAAGACTGACATGGACCAAAGGAAAGAAGAGTGAGTGAGTCAGAGAGAGAGAGAGACAGACAGACAGAAGTAGTAAAGAGAAAGCAATGTCGATCATGCCCTTTCTACCACATCTATTACCATTACAGGTTGCCTTATCTGAAATTAGTGAATCAGAAAATAAAGCAGGGGATATTTTGTATAGTTTCTTTTTTTTTCCTCTTTTTTTTTTTTTGAGATGGAGTTTCACTGTTGTTACCCAGACTGGAGTGCAATGGCACGATCTCGGCTCACCGCAACCTCTGCCTTCTGGGTTCAAGCAATTCTTCTGCCTCAGCCTCCCAAGTAGCTGGGACTACAGGCACGCACCACCATGCGCAGCTAATTTTTGTATTTTTAGTAGAGACGAGGTTTCACCTTGTTGATCAGGATGGTCTCGATCTCTTGACCTCGTGATCCACCCGCCTCGGCCTCCCAAAGTGCTGGGATTATAGGCATGAGCCACCGCGCCTGGCCCTGTGTAGTTTCAAGGTTAAGGGAAGAGTTCAGAATATTGTCTGTCTGAAATATCTCTCTAGAAGGCCTGGTGGGCTATGACCTGGGCCAGAAGCATTCAGTTCAGAGATGAGAAAGGCAGATGTAGGAGCAATGGCCAATGGGCCATGGCTACAGGGAAATTGTTATAGTGGGAAGCCTGCAAAGACTGGCTCCTGTCAATTTTGCCTTGGTTTGCCAATGTGGTTATTCTTGGTCAATATTGTCTGCCCAAGAGCTGTGCATGCAAGAGTTGGAAATTGGATGAAAATGTGAAGACTTTTTTTCTTCTCAACAGCTCACAAAGAAAGTGAACAACATAGAGACAGGATGGGCCTTGGGGGCCACCTTTCACCTGCTGCAGTCTCTGGTCATCTCCCATTGAGGCCACGCACTTCCTTGGGGGCCTGCATTTGCCAATAGCCTTTTTAAGGGGAGGAGAGAGGACTTAGTTTCTGAGCTAGTCTGGGGACATCCTGGACTTGAACCAAGAGATTTAGATTTAATGTGAACTGCTGCCTAACCACTTGAATACACAGTTGGCACCAGAGCATCACAGAGAGCCGTGTAAGCCAAAAAGTATAGCTTTGGAACTTCACCTTTGAGAGCCCAGGGACAGGCCCCTGGGAACCAAAGAAAAATCTCATTTCAACCCTTTGAGTGCCTCATTCTGTTGAATACTTTTACATTTTCCTCTTAAATGGTAAACTAAGCCTACTTACTGCAATCCCATGATCTATCAACATGAGTATTTTTTCGTCCCTATACGGTGCCCCGCCCACCCTCATCTGCACCCACCTCCCCCAAAAAAGAAAAAAATACCTGGTTTTGCTTTCCATGTATAATTCAACAACACAAAAGGGGACCATGTCAGAATCTGTGTGATCCTGTTCTGTGTTAGCTCCAATCAGCCAGCTGGGAGCCATCCTAAATATTATAGGATGGAGAGTAACTCCTAAATGTGCATAGACTACAGCCTTAAGAAAGGAGGCCACCTAGTCTCTGGGGACATGTTTTGGGAGGGTGTGGCTGCCTCATGTAGCCTACCTTTCCTTTAATCAGCTTTTCATCAGTCAACTCTGGGATTAATGAACATATCTGACTTTATGGGTGTATATTCAGTGCCAGTACCACCTCCCAGGCTAATGTGTTAACAGTGTTTTCTATGATTCTAAACTCGTTTTCTTTGTATTTCTAAGAAATACAAGTAGGCCCTAACTTCTGGTCTGTGGTGAGAGGTCAGTGTCTGTGCTATTCCTGGGTCTATTATTTCAGTTAGCCCTTTTATTCTCTCTGTTTATAACAGTACCTTCCTGTCCTGGCCCCTGATCAGTTTAGCTAATATCCTCGGAATTATTTATCTAGTTCAGAGTTTCCAACACCGTTCCTGACAAAACCCCACATGGATTTGGTTGGTGCTGTCAGCGCACATCAGAACACTGGACCAACATTTCCAAGGAGAACCATATTTAATGTCCCTCAGGTTCTCCTTTTTGAATCAAAGTGGTCAGAGCTCTTGACTGTGATTTATCCCAAATTCATTATCTTGCACTTTTTTTTTTTTTGAGATGGAGTCACTCTGTCACCCAGGCTAGAGTGCAGTGGTGCAATCTTGGCTCACTGCAACCTCTACCCCGCCACGTTTAAGCGATTCTCATGTCTCAATCTCCTGAGTAGCTGGGATTACAGGTACCCACCACCATTCCTGGCTAATTTTTGTATTTTAAGTAGAGACAGGGTTTCCATCATGTTGGGCAGACTGGTTTCGAACTCCTGACCTCAAGTGATCTGCCTGCCTCGGCCTCCCAAAGTACTGGGATTATAGGCATGAGACACCACGCCCGGCCTTATCTTGCAACTTTTGACATACTCATCCCTGCTTTTCATCTGCCCTGTAATGCTCTTGGACCTGGAAGATCTCCCTGTGGTCTGGCCCCTTTGCCTTGGCTCCTAACGTTCAGCTTCTTTCCAGGAGTGTTTTTATTTCCCCAAACTTGTGGCTTTCACAGTAGACTCCGTTTCCATCCTCTCTCATAAAAGATGTTAAATATGCCTGGCCCTCACACAGTCCATGGAGAACCTTATTTTTTAACATTACTCCATTGAGTCAATAAATAGACCATCTCCCATGTGCAAGGAACGAGGCAAATTTCTGTATCCTTGTCCCTGAAATTCTTGTTGTCTTTAAATTCATTTTGGAATTTTCTTCAGACTTCTCACACTGACTTTTATTACTAAGGTCACCTTTACACCAACTGCCTTCCTCAAAAAATCCTTATAATGAAATAACAGAATCTTGAGTTGGAAACAGCCCAAAGAAATAAGCCAATGTTGTACTCAGTGCAGAATTCCCTAGAATTTCTAACAGGTTGTCATTCAGCTTCTGCTGAGGCATGTTCAAACAGCTTATTCCACTTGGGACCGCACTGATGTTAAAAAATTCCTTATATTGAGCTGAAAGCTACCTGTCTTCTAAGTGGTCTTAGTTCTGCTCTAGTCTCTTCTTCCAAAATCTTTCAGTATTTTGGAAAAAAGCTCCTCCCAAGTTCCTTGAGTGACATGACTTTTAGATCTCTTTCCATCTTTGTCAAAAAAAAGTAGGGTGCCAGACCAGTCACAGAATACTCAATGTCATCCATGTTTCCTCCAGTAGAAACCAGTAGTTTTACAAGAGGTAATCTGTGGGCTTGGTGTGGTGGCTCATGCCTGTTATCCTAGCACTCTGGGTGGCCGAGATGGGTGGATCACGAGGTCAGGAGTTTAAGACCAGCCTGGCCAAGATGGTGAAACCCCATCTCTATTAAAAAATAAATAAAGAGGTAATCTGTGTTCATTCAAGGTTCTTCCAGCTTGACAAATGCAGAGATGTAGAAATCTCTGGTCTTTATTCACAGCAGGGGCCATTTTGTAAAGCATACATACTGTCCAGCAGACTCCTTTGATCATCCCAAATACCTTTGAACTCTAGGGTAGCTGCAGTCTAACTCCAGAAACTTATCTATATCTTTTGTTAATTTTGATTAGACCTTCTGGAGAATTAGCCAACTTGTCCATCATACAAGCAGTTTGGAATGAGAATTTTTTAAAAAAACTTTTTTCTGTAAGGCCTATCCTGCCTGCAGTGGATCCTTTGGGCTTTTTGTTAAGAATTTGTAAGAGGTCTTACAGATTCTAATAGTTTCCTCTTTGCAAATGTGTTAATATATTTAAAATACTTAGGACATGGCCTGGCACATGACAGATGTTAACATCACTTTAGTATGAAGAACATCCTCGTGGGTCAATGGAGGTGTCCCTTAAAATTCTTCATCTTACCCGATTTTGTTTGCAAAAAGAATCTTCTGGAGAGTCTGTGTCTTCCTCACCTAGGCCACCTTTCCATTTTTTTGTGAAAAATGAACTTGTCCCCAAAGCCTCCACCAGTAGTCACGTAGCTTTGCACAGCAGCTGCCATCTTTAAGTCTTTTTCCTGAGATTCCAGGAAGATTATGACATTGTCACTTTTTTGTTGTAGAATCTTTTAAATTTTCTGCATTTGCCTGAAAAGTGCCCCTGTGGGAACAGATTTCTCATGGTTCTAAAAATTATTCCCAAGAATCCCTTACTTGGTTCAAAAGCAGACTGTTTCTTCTCATTTCATCTTCAAATCAGACTTTTGGGCAAGATGTTCTTTATAGTAAGCAAATCCACGACCTAAAAATCTCTTAACGAGGCATCTCTGGTCTTGTGAAGAGACCTCTTCAAAAACCCAATGTAAAACTCCCCTCCCTCCAGCTGGCCACCAGTCTGCCACCAAACATGAACAAATTCTGCTGCTAATCAATTTCCCTTTTGATCTGGTTCCTAAGGTTTTTGGATCTGTGCAATGAATTATTTATTAAACAGACAATGGTGTTCCAGAAAGGAACCATAAAATGGAAATCTGGTGCTGTGATAAAGTAATAACTAGCATTAATAAGATCTGGTTTTGATTTCAGCAAATCCAATGTACCTGTAACAAAGGTTGAAGCAATTTACATTTAATTTGCATTCTGATGTTAATTTTTAAACAGCAATTCTAACAAAAATGCATCAACTGAGTATTTGTAATTCTTACCTCTATCAAAAAACAACTATAAATTTATGACCAGCACTAAATATATATATATATATATATATATATATTACATATATATATATTTTCTCTTTAGAAGTGATTGTTAACAATTAGAAATGAGTGAGACAGCACCTGGTGGGTTTTTGTTGTTTTAGTAATAAAAAGCTCTTTTCAACCAAATTGTAATAGTCTTCCTTCGAAGTTTTTACCTTTGGTCTGGCTAATATATACTCCTCACGGCAAATTGTCATTCATTATTTGGGTGCCAGATGCCCATTAAGCAAAGAAGAAAAAGAATTCTCAAGTAAAGTAAATTTATTAAATTAAATTACATCTTGAAAATATGTATGACGGTCTTGTGGCAGGATGTTCTTTTTCATCAATGTAATCTTTAGGAGTACTCATTTGCTTGCGAAGGCCATAATCTGTTCCTGGAGAAAAAAGTGAAACTCTTAACATTGTAAGGTGAAGAAAAGAACTTTAAAATATCCAAGGTGATTAAAGCAAAAACTTAGCAAAAGACCATGTCGATATTCTTCTCAAGAGTCCATTTTATTTCAGCTAAAAAAAATATATACATATATATAAATATACACACACACACAGTTTGGAGACAGGTTCTTGCTGTGTTGACTGGGCTGGAGTGCAATGGTGTGATCATAGCTCACTGCAGCCTCAGACTCCTGGGCTCAAGCGGTCCTCCCTCCCCAGGTTCCTGAAGTGCTGGGATTACAGGTGTGAGCCACTGCACCCAGCAGAAAAAAATATATCTTTAAATGGAAGTTCTCAGGGAGGAAACAAGCCAAGCAGCAAAAGGAACTGAAACATCTTCATCATTAGAAAACCCTATTCGTTATTTTTTTCAAGACACTGGTCCTGCTCTGTCACCCAGCCTAAGTACAATGATGTGAACATAACTCGCTACAGCCTCAAACTCCTGGGCTTAAGTGATCCTCTCATCTCAATCTCCTCAATAGCTAGGACTACAGGCATGCGCCACCACACCCCCTACTCACTATTAAGTCCTTCTTATAGGTAAAGTTATTGCTTAGATGTTAACACTTATAAGCCTAGCAAGTGCTTTTTTGCTCATAACCCTTGGGAAGATAGATACATAAAGATAATTGTACAGCCAAGAAAATTAATTCAAAGAAGTTAAGAGCTATTTGCAAAGTCATTCCTCTGTGAGCAACCTCTTACCCTCTTACCTTGAGTGGAGACACTGCATTTGTGGCCTGCAAGCCCCACGTCCTGAGCAACACAAGCGGGGTGGCACTGGTGGAATAGAGCCTTTTTAATAAGTCTATAGCAGCCAGAAGAGCAGTGTTGTGACGCTGTCTGTCTGTTTCATAACCTGTGAGGTGGCTCATGGAGCCTGGAGGACAGAGGAAAGATTAAATTTCTAATCCAATAATGTTTCCTTCCCTTAAGTCAGATATATTTTATGTCCACTCCCTCTTGCTACTGTGGGCCATTTTGGCGCCCTGATCTTGCCTAACTATCTGACCTCTGGATACTTCTCCACAGTACGTGAATCCTTACCTAAGTCTTTCCCATTGAAGGCTGCCGTACTGAGGTGATGGGCCAAGCTGGAGATATCCCCAAAGCCCATGTTGACACCTTGTCCCGCAAGCGGATGGACTCTGTGGGCTGCATCCCTAAGAATAAAGCAGAGTTCAGGTGAAACCTCTAGCAGCAGAGTGAGAGGGGAGTGGCCCTGCTCTGTTACCATCTTACCCAATGAGTGCCACCCGAGGCCTGACGTACTCAGCAGCATGTCCCAACCCAAGAGGAAACAGAACTCGGCTTTTGGCATCCACTCTTGCTACGCTTGGGGGCAGCTGGCGAGCCGAGACCTTAGTGGGCTTCAGAAGGCCAACAGCGTATTGCAGCATGGCGCCAGCTGTGTCGATGAAGTCCGTGTGGTCAGCATCACTCCACTGAGCAGCATCAGCCACAAGACAAACAAGATGAAATTTGAGTAGCAGGGAATTAAAAATTCAACAAAGAAACCTTGTTTGTAACCAAAGCTTAGGGTAATGCTACCTAACTTGCCTACACTGATCTTGATCACAAGTGATAAACCCCTCAAGTGCAAAGCTCAACTTCCCATCACTCCCCACGGGTTTTAGGATCAAGCCAAACTGCACATGAGCTGGTCCTTGCCTACCTCTGAGCTTCACCTTTCACTAGTCCCCACCCTCAATAACCATGCACCGGCCACAGAGTGGCTCATAATATATCCTTCTACCTACATGACTCTCCTCTGCTTAGAATGCCCATCTGTATTTCATTAGGATAACACCTCAGAGCATCCAGAAGATGCCACCTCTTTTTGTAACTCCTCCAACCTTTATTTCCTCCTGTATGCTTCCACAGCATCCTATGCATACTTCCATTACTTCTGACATTGTCATTTATGGTCTTCCTCACTTGACTAGGAACTTCCTGAAAGCAGAGACCATTCTCAGTATCTCCAGAGCCTGCTACATAGAAAGCACAATTAATGGTGAATGACTGCACTGCAGAGGTCCTAGACCTCTAAGTATGGTACTCAGAGGGGGTACTGTTCACCATTTATCTTGGAACCCACTTAAGTATGTTCAGTTCCTTTTATTCTTCTTGCTACTACAGAGCAGTGGAGTCTCAGTTCATTGTTATGAAGATAGCAGGCCTTGAGTGTCATTTAGGCTCCAAAAATAATACTGGTACCCATATTATCCAAAGGCTGTGTCTACTCCAGAATAATTATTAGTATTTGTTGAGCACCTACAATGTACTAAAGATACTCCGTGTATTTTTAAAAAGTTCTCTCATTTTGAATAAAGACTTTCAAAATGAGAGAACTTTTTAAAAATACACGGAATAGCTTTAGTACACTGTAGAGAAGTTGGTGATACTATTTCCATTTTTTCAGGAAATTAACAGGTTGAACCAGTATTGAACCCACATCTGTCTACTAAGCTTACTTTTAAGCTCCATGCTGAAATTCGCTCAGCCTTTCCCTGGGAATACTTGCAATGAATCAGGCTTTAAAGTTTAGGTAGGCCAGGTGCAGTGGCTCACGCCTGTAATCCCAGCACTTTAGGAAGCCAAGGTGGGCAGATCACCTGAGGTTGGGAGTTCGAGACAGCCTGACCAACATGGAGAAACCCCGTCTCAACTAAAATACAAAATTTGCTGGGCATGGTGGTACATGCCAATAATCCTACCTACTGGGGAGGCTGAGGCAGGAGAATCGCTTGAACCCAGGAGGCGAAGTTGCAGTGGGCTGAGATCGTGCCACTGCACTCCAGCCTAGGCAACAAAAGTGAAACTCCATCTCAAAAAAAAAGGTTCAGGTAACTGGAACCTAGCAGTGTTCAAAATGATCAAAGTGTTACAGCTTCAAAAAAAGGCCAATGCTAACCACCACGCAGGCAACTGTTTCAGTCGGCCTAACAGCAGCCCCAGACCCTCAAAAGGTTATTTGTTATTTCTATTGTTTTACATTTCCCTGTATGCCCTCCTCCACATAATGCAAACCAACCATTATCATTATGAAGGGACAGATGAATGCTTATTCCTTTTTCCTGACTCAAAACTACTTTTCTGGCTGGGCGCAGTGGCTCATGCCTGTAATCCCAGCACTTTGGCAGGCCAAGGTGGGCAGATCACTTGAGGTCAAGAGTTTGAGACCAGCCTGGCCAACATGGTGAAATCCCGTCTGTACTAAAAAATACAAAAATTAGACGGGCAAGGTGGCACATGCCTGTAGTTCCTGTAGTCTCCTGCTTAGGCAGGAGAATCCCTTGAACCTGGGAGATGGAGGTTGTAGTGGGCCAAGATCGTGCCACTGCACTCCAGCCTGGCAAGACTCTGTCTCAAAAAAAAAAAAAAAACCCCACCTTTCTGTATCTCCCCCTGCAACACATCATCAGCCAGGTAAGTTGATACTCACAAAGGCAGAGTTAACGGCATCCACAAATTGTTCCTCATCCATGCTAACTAGCTCTGCTGCATGTTCATGGGATGTGGACCAAACCAAGGAACTCAAGGTGTCTGAGAGCTGTGTCAAAAGAACACCAATACCAAGGGCTAAGCTTCTTCTACACTTGGAAGCTCTCAAGCACAAAAAGAAGGGAACATAAAACGAGCCTGGGGGCCGGGCGCGGTGGCTCACGCCTATAATCCCAGCACTTTGGGAGGCCGAGGCGGGTAGATCACGAGGTCAAGAGATCAAGACCATCCTGGTCAACAAGGTGAAACCCCGTCTCTACTAAAAATACAAAAATTAGCTGGGCATGGTGGTGCGCGCCTGTAGTCCCAGCTACTCGGAAGGCTGAGGCGGGAGAATTGCTTGAACCCAGAAGGCGGAGGTTGCAGTGAGCCGAGATCGTGCCATTGCGCTCCAGTTTGGGTAACAACAGTGAAACTCCATCTCAAAACAAACAAACAAGCAAACATAAAACTAGCCTGGGAATATTCCGTTGAAACCAGAAAAAGGCTGAGAGAAAGTGAAGAGGAAAGGCTGCATGTATGTGGGCAGACTGGCCAGAAGGATTCTTACCGGAAGCAGAGCAATGGGCCCAGAGGGAAGAAATCTCTGCCAGGCTACATTGTTTTCCGTGGCCTGCAACAGAGAGGAGAAGAGTTTCTCTGTGAAGTACCTAGTGCCTATGAAGAGTCCCCAGATGGCAGCTCATCTTACCTCTGATAAATGCAGAGTAGCCACAACAGCAGACTGGTCATAGTTCCAGCTCACATTCTGGATTCCAGCAGCCTGTCGTACTCCCGAGTTGTGACCATCTGCACCTATCTGCATGGACACACAAACCTGCTAAGTCTTACAGCCTCTTCATAAACTGCTTCAGTTTTTCTCCCCCCAGCTAAAGTTTCCTCCAGCTCTGACTGTTGGTGAGCCCATTCTGTGGCAGGAGACTTCCACCAGGCCTGCTTCACTCACAGCCCCTAGAGGCAGAGCCCCTGCATTGTGCTGCCTCAGCCTTGGCCAACAGAGCCAAAGCTGGACATGACTCAAAAGATGCCAGCCATGGGTTAACTCAGCCAGGCTTTCCTGATATTCGAACTACAGCAATGAGGAAAGTTTCAGTATGAGGCACGCACTGGAGCTGAATAGTTAGTTCTGATGTAGGGTTTGGAATGGCTGCCAAGTAAAAAGGGAAGGTTGTGAGCAGAAAGGAGAAAACTGAGAGGCAGGAGATCAATGACCACCGACTCCTCAGAGGGAAAGAACAGCCGCCATTCCCAAAACTCTGGTGCCTGCCCTGGGAGGCCCAGCTGTCTGTTACTTCACGACCTAAGACAGCCCATGAGATTGCTTCCTGTTTAGGATTTACGATGAGACCATCTCAACTTAAGTTGGCTTGAATGGGTGCTGTTCTTTATAACCAAAAGCTTTGCCTAAAATTAAACTATAGCTTACATCTAAAACCAGAGGCCCTGGAATCTAGGATAAGATGTAGATATACAAGACCCCTAGCAAAATAAGAATCAAATACCAACAATTTGGTCTGGAATGTGCTGCCATCACCTAGGGTAATATGAACCCAAGGGCTGGAGTCTGCCATAGGAAATGGACAAGGCCAGGTATAGCGAATGGCTTTGCTCCTGTAGAGAACTGTCACTCGGTCTGGGGAGGTCAAAAGAGAGAAAAAAAAATTAGAAAGGTGGGCTACATAGGCTGAGGAAAAAGCTATAGCTAAACCTAAAGCAAGGTCCTAGGACAGCAGTGTCTTGATATTTAAGATTAAAAAAAAAAGTGATTAATGCTGTGGTCTGTGAGCTAATAGATGACAGAAGCCACAGAGATGACTCAATGTCAAAAAAAAAAAAAAAAAGGCATTTAAGTTCTCAGTGAACTCCGTCAGAGGCAGTCTTCCTTACTGTCCACATGCTTCTGCACCTCCGTTTTTACCCTACACCTAAATGAGCCCATGTGTGCTTTCACAGTAGACAAGCTGGGAACACCGTAGGCTGAAACAAATCCTGTACAAGATTTTCTTCCAGCTGGAAATCATTTTATTTTTCTGATCATAAAAACAATATGCTCTGTGGCCCCAGGCATACTGTAACTACTGTGAGATATCATTTCAGTCTCACTAGGATGGCTACGATTTTTTTTCTTTTCTTCTTTTCTTCTTTTTTGAGACAGAGTCTCGCTCTGTCACCAGGCACCAGGCTGGAGTGCAGTGGCGTGATGATCTCGGCTCACTGCAACCTCCGCCTCCGGGTTCAAGCAATTCTCCTGCCTCAGCCTCACGAGTAGCTGGGATTGCAGGCGTGCACCACCACACCCAGCTAATTTTTGTATTTTTAGTAGAGACAGGGTTTAACCATGTTGGCCAGAATGGTTTTGATCTCCTGACCTCATAATCCGCCTGCCTTGGCCTCCCAAAGTGCTGGGATTACAGGCGTGAGCCATTGCGCCTGGCCATTTTTTTTTTTTAAAAAGGAAAATAAGTGTTGGTGAAGATGTGGAGAAATTGGAATCCTCATATTCTGGTGTGAAAGTGAAACTGTACAGCCTCTTTATGACGAGACAATCTCAACTTGAGCTGACTTAAATGGGTACTGGTCCTTATAACCAAAAGCTTTGCCTAAAAAAATTTTTTTTTCCTTTTGAGACGGAGTTTTGCTCTTGTTACCCAGGCTGGAGTGCAATGGCGCAATCTCGGCTCACCGCAACCTCCGCCTCCTGGGTTCAGGCAATTCTCCTGCCTCAGCCTCCTGAGTAGCTGGGACTACAGGCACGCGCCACCATGCCCAGCTAATTTTTTGTATTTTTAGTAGAGACGGGGTTTCACTCTTTTGACCAGGATGGTCTTGATCTCTTGACCTTGTGATCCACCTGACTCGGCCTCCCAAAGTGCTGGGATTACAGGCATGAGCCACCGTGCCTAGCCTTTGCCTAAAATTAAACTATAGCTTAGATCTAAAACCAGAGGATTTAGAATATATATCAGAATATATAAAGAACTCCTATAACTCAAAAAGAGAAATAATCCAATTTAAAAACAGACAAAAGATTTTGAACAGACATTTCTCCAAAGTGGATACACAAATGGCCAGTAAGGACATGACCATATTTAGATCTATATGCTCTATGCACCCAGGCACGGGTAGCTAACGCTTGTAATCCTAGCAATTAGGGAGGCTGAAGCAGGAGGATCACTTGAGCCCAGGAGTTCAAGACCAGCCTGGGCAACATGGTGAAACATCTCTACAAAAAAATCAGCCAGGCGTGATGGCATGTACCTGTAGTGCCAGTTCGTCAGGAGGCTGAGGAGAGAGGATTGCTTGAGCCACTGAACCCCAGCCAGGGAGGACAAAGCAAGAGCTTGTCTCAAAACAGAACAAAATACTCTCCAAAAACATCAGACTGTATACATCATTTACACCTTTTTCTGTCAGTCAGTCATACCCTCAACAAAGTGATTTAAATAATAATAGTGAGCCAGCTGTAAAAGTTTGGAAGACAAAGAAAGGTTAAGGGGGGGGGGCAGGAATCACCCTTAATCAAACTACTCACAGACAACCGCAGTTACAGCTTTGGTGTATGGCTTTCCTATGCATGTACATGCACACACACACAAGTATGATCATATGACCCAATATATTACAGAACAAATTTCTAAGCTATTAAATTTTAGATCCAAATTATCTTTAAAAGCTGCATCATGGTTCATTGAACTACTATCCAAAATCAAAAAGCATTTAAGTTGCTTCCAATTTTTCTCTCTCTAGAACACCAAGATATTTGCAAATCACATAACTGATAAATTTATATTCAGAATATGTAAAGAACTGTAAGTCAAAAACAGAAATAATCCAATTTAAAAAGAGGCAAAAATTCTGAACAGACATTTCACCAAAGTGGGTACACAAATGGCCAGTAGGGACACGAAAAGATACTCAGCATCATTAGTCATTAAGGAAATGCAATCACTACTACCATGAGATATCACTTCACTCTCACTAGGATGGCTACAATATTTTTTTTTTTTTTTTTGAGATGGAGTCTCGCTCTTGTTACCCAGGCTGGAGTACAATGGCACTATCTCGGCTCACTGCAACCTCTGCCTCCTGGGTTCAAGCAATTCTCCTGCCTCAGCCTTGCGAGTAGCTGGGATTACAGGCATGTGCCACTACACCCAGCTAATTTTGTAATTTCAGAAGAGATAGGGTTTCTCTATGTTGGTCAGGCTGGTCTCGAACTCCTGACCTCAGGTGATCCACCCGCTTGAGCTGCCAAAGTGCTGGGATTGCAGGTGTGAGCCACTGCGCCCAGCCGGCTACAATTTTTTTTCTAAAAAAGGAAAACAAGTGTTGGTGAGGATGTGGAGAAACTGGAACCCTTATATACTGGTGGGAAAGTGAAATTGTACAGCCTCTTTAGAAAAAAAGTTTGGCAGCTTCTGAATATGCTAAACATAGGATTATTATATGACCCAGCAATTCCACTTCTAAGTATACAGCCAGGAGAAATGAAAACATGTCCACACAAAAACTTGTACACAAATATTCATAGCATTATTTACAATTGCCAGGAAGTGGAAACAGCCCAAATGTCTATCACTGATGAATGGGTAAGCAAAATTTGGCATATCCACAAAATGGAATGCTATTCAACAACAAAAAGGAATCAAGCTGATACAAGCTACATGGATGAATCTCAAAAATACTATGCTCAGTGAGAAGTCAGACACAGATGAATACATGTTATATGACTCCATCACATGAATTGTCCAGAATAAGAAAATCTAGAAAGACAGAAAACAGATTAGTAGTTGCCAGGGACTAGGGGTGGGAATGGAGAATGAATAAATGGGTTTCTTTTTGAGGTGATGGTTGTGGAACTCTATAAATACACTAAAAGTTACTGAATTGTACACTTAAAATGGGTGAATTTTATGGCATGTATAACTGAATAAAACTGTTTTTTTAAAAAAAAAAACAATCCTGGCCGGGTGCGGTGGCTCATGCCTGTAATTCCAGCACTTTGAGAGGCTGAGGTGGGCAGATCACTTGAGTTCAGGAGTTCAAGACCAGCCTGGCCAACATGGTGAAACCCTGTCTCTACTAGAAATACAAAAATTAGCCAGGCGTGGTGGTAGGTGCCTGTAATCCCAGCTATTTGGGAGGTTAAGGCAAAAAAATTGCTTGAACCCAGGAGGTGGAGGTTGCAGTGAGCCAGGACTGCGCCACTGCACTCCAGCCTGGGCAACAAGAGCAAAACTCCATCTCAAGGGGGAAAAAAAAGAACAACCATGAAATAATCATCAGAGGATTTCTCTATGGTGGACACTGAATATCTGTAAAAGAGATCCTTTCTTCCAGTAAGTCCTAAGCAGTTCACTTCCCAATGAATGCAAGATGGAAGATGGGGGCCTCACCAGACACGGCCTCCAGCTGCTTAGTGAGAGCATGCATGATGACATCATTCTCCACGATATAGCCCATGTCATCTAAATTATCCTTATCAAACATTATCAGGGCCTCTGAGCAGGCATCCCACACCTGGAAACAAAATGAGAGTTTGCATTAAGACCAAGAAGGAAACATCACTCCAATCAGAAACAATATTGCCTTCCCAAGTGACCGAGCAAAAAACCACAATTTGTCAGCCTCCCTGGCAGAAAAGTATAAAATAATAGGAAAATTCTCCTGAGAATGCTTCTCCCCACTTCCTTGGACTGAATGTGAACCTTGTCTGATTCCTCCTACATTTACAGAACACTTGGAGAATGTGGACTCGGATATCTTAACACAAGACAGACCAAGACATCTTAACAAAATTGAAAAAGATAAAGGGGCACCTGCATTCGCCGAAAGGCTCTGTATCTCATGTTGCAGATATGGTCCCAGGCACCAAAACCTACAAAAGAAAGGATCTGAAGATCAGAGTGACCTCACAGAGACCTGGGCTTCCCCTTTGTCCCTCCATTCTGTTCCATAAGAGGCTGTTTTCAGTGTGCTTTAATAATACTCTCCACTTCTATTTTGTTTGATGTTAGTACCTAAGCTACTCTGTTCCCCAGTTCCAGCATGAAAAAAGACCCAGCTTCCATGATCAAAAGGCCAAATCATATAAAGGGGAAATAAAAAAGAAAACCAAACCTATATCATTCTTTATCTTCATCATCTTATTGAAATTATAAACTTCCTAAAGACAATTTTTAAAAAATTATTTTTACAAAGTGATTTCTAGTAACTTGAAACCATTTTTTTTTTTTTAAGATACAAGGTCTCAATATGTTGCCCAGGCCAGACTTAAACTCCCAGGCTCAAGCAATCCTCCCATCTTAGCCTCCCAAGTGGCCAGGACTACAGGTACGCATGACTGTGTCTGGCCTATTTTTTATTTTTTAGTCCTTCACAGCACTGAACAGATTCATTCATTGAAGAACTATTTACTGAGCACCTACTATGTGCCAAATACAATAGAGTGGGAAAACAAACAAAGTCCCTGCACTTCTGCAGTTGACATTATAATTGGAGAGATGGACAATAAAAAGCAAACACATAATATAATGCCAGGTAGTAGTAAGCATTATGGAAAAAAAAAAAAAGCAGAGGAAGGGGCTAGAATGTGATGGAAGAGTTTAATTTGAGATGGTGTGATTTCAGACAGGATGGTCTGAGGGAATCATCTAGCAGACCTAAGGACAATTTGCTCAGTGGCTCCATGTGCACACATTCATCTGCACCCCAGGAACATTTCACATGCAAGCTCCTTAGCTTGCTAGAGGACTTGACTCAGGATGAAAAGGGCACTGCTATTCGAAGTGCATGTTCATAATTAGTTCATCTGATTTCAGTTCCACCAATTCATAATGATACAACATCACAAGTGAAGTCAACATGATGGACCCACATACCTCAAGGATGTATTCCTCAGACAGGGAGTTGATTCAGTAGCAATTTCAACTATGCGCTAGACTACCAAACCCACCCGCTTCTCTCCACCCACCTCAGTGAGCTCCCTCCTTGTCAGATGCTCTGATGACTCTGCCCCATGGGACATATTAGGAAGCTGAGGGGGTAAGGAGATTGGATCTTTGAAGGAGGATCTTCTACTCACTACTGAGAAGCGTTGCAGAGCCAGGGGAAATGGAGCTGATCCTGTTGCTGTAAGTTTCTGACAATTTCTCCAATACTTTCTTTGGACCTGCTTCTAGCAACAGGATTTTCTTGTCATGAAAGTGAACGTCATATCCTAAAAAAATAAAAAAAAGCAAACATCAAACATTTTGTCATTTTAGTAAAATCAATTTAGTTCCTTTCCCATTACCAAAAGAAACAAGAGTAACTACTTAACCCTTAGAATATGAATTTCTTACAGAGTACATAAACACTATACCCATGCAGAGTCCTAAGCAATAACATACACCACCATGTCAGTCATAAGAAGCACGGTGCCCACAACTGTAAGCCTTCTCTAAACACCACTACATGCCACATGCCAGGAAGCAAATAACGGCAAACACATAACTAGCAAACAGAATGCCCTAGAAAGGAAAAATGAAGACTACAGTATTTAAACACCAGTTATTTCCTGTCTCCAGAGTATTAAGTCACTAAAAATTACAACTCCTGGTCAAAAGAAAAAGGGGAATAAATAAGCAAAATTCAATGCAGTCTCAAGATTAAACCAAGAATAAAAAATTAGAGTTTATAAAGGCTGGGTGTGGTGGCTCACGCCTGTAATCCCAGCACTTTGGGAGGTCAACACAGGCAGATCACCAGAGGTCAGGAGTTCAAGACCAGCCTGGCCAACATGGTGAAACCCTGTCTCTACTAAAAATATAAAGAACTTAGCCAGGTGTGGTGGCAGGCTCCTGTAATCTAAGCTACCTGGGAGGCTGCACCAGGAGCATCGCTTGAACCTGGGAGGTGGAGGTTGCAGTGAACCGAGATTGCGCCACTGTACTCCAGCAGTGAAAAAGAGTGAAACTCCATCTCAAAAAAAAAAAAAAAAGAATTGAGAGTTTATAAAAGAAAAGGTGGGCCAGGCATGGTGGCTATGGTGGCTCATGCCTGTAATCTCCAGTATTTTCGGAGGCTTAGGTGGGAGGATCATTTGAGCCCAGGACTTCAAGACCAGCCTGGGCAGCATGGCAAGACCCTGTCTCCACAAAAGAAAAAGTTTTTAAAAAACTAGCCAGGTGGCCAGGCATGGTGGCTCATGCTTGTAATCCCAACACTTTGGGCGGCCTAGGCAGGTGAGGTCAGGAGTCTGAGACCAGCCTGACCAACATAGTGAAACCCTGTCTCTACTAAAAATACAAAAATTAGCTGGGCGTGGTGGTGCATGCCTGTAATCCCAGCTACTTAGGAGGCTGAGGCAGAAGAAATCATTTGAGCCCGGGAGGCAGAGGTTGCAGTGAGCCAAGACTGTGCCACTGCACTCCAGCCTGGGGAACAGAGTGAGACTCCGGCTAAAAAAAAAGAAATAGCCAGGCATGGTGGCACAACCTGAGCCAAGCTTGTGCAACTGCACTCCTACCTGGGGGACAGAGCAAAAGCCTGTCTCAAAAAATAAAAAGAAAAAAGAAAACAAAGAAGTGGCAGTTACTATTAATTTTTTTTTCTTTTTTGAGATAGAGTCTCGCTCCGTCGCCCAGCCTGGAGTGCAATGGCGAAATCTCAGTTCACTGCAACCTCCATCTCCCAGGTTCGAGCAATTCTCCTGTCTCAGCCTCTCAAGTAGCTGGAATTACAGGGGCATGCTGCCACCCTGGCTAATTTTTTTGTATTTTAGTAGAGGCAGGGTTTCATTGTGTTACCCAAGCTCAGGCACTCCACCCGCCTCAGCCACCCAAAGTGCTGCAATTGCAGGAGTGAGCCACTGAGCCCAGCCCATTTTTTTTTAACTTTAAAAATAAAACATTAGGTCAGACACAGTGGCTCACACCTATAATCCCAGAACTTTGGGAGACAAAGGAGGATGGATCACTTGAGCTCAGGAGTTTGAGACCACCTGGGCAACATGGTGAAACCCCGTCTCTAATAAAAACCAAACAGCCAGGTATGATGGCGGGTGCCTGTGGTCCCAGTTTCTAGGAAGGCTAAGGCATGAGAATCACTGGAACCTAGGAGGCAGACGTTGTAGTAAGCTGGGATCCTGCCACTGCACTCCAGCCTGAGTGACAGAGGTGGCAGAGCAAAGACTGTCTCAAAAAAAAAAAAAAAAGCTCCAGCCATACAGACAGTAAGCTTTTGCTGTGGAGGATGGGGCACAGGGACATCCTCTGTAAAGGGCACCGTCTTCTTTTTCTTTTTTTTTTTTCCCTGAGGCAGAGTCTCCTTTTGCCCAGGAGTGTAGTGGTGTGATCCCAGCTCACTGCAACCTCCACTTCCCAGGTTTAAGTGATTCTCACACCTCAGCCTCCCAAGTAGCTGGGACTACAGGTGCGTACCACAATGCCTGGCTAATTTTTTGTATTTTTTTTTTTAGTAGAGATGGGGTTTCACCATGTTGGTCAGGATGGTCTCAACTCCTGATCTCAGGTGATCCACCCACCTCGGCCCTCAAAGTGCTGGGATTAGACATGAGCCACTGTGCCTGGCCAACAGGCACTGTTTTCTAGTCCCACATACCTCTGCCCTTAATCTAAGGCAAGCTTGTCCAACCATGGCCCAGGACGGCTTTGAATTTGGCCCAACACAAATTCATAAACTTTCTTTAAACATTATGAGGTGTGTGTGTGTGTGTGTGTGTAAGCTCATCAGCTATTGTTAGTGTTTTTTATGTGTGACCCAAGACAATTCTTCTTCCAATGTGTCCTGGGGAAGCCAAAAGATTGGACACCCTGATCTAAGGTCAGCTGTTCCACCCTATGATCCTCATCTCACAGGATATGCAAAATTTAACTTAAAGCAGATCATACACTTCTGTAACAGCTAAATCCATAAAATACTTAGAAAAAAGCCCAAGTAGTAAATCTTTGTGACTTTCTTAGCTATGACACCAAAAGCACAAATGATAAAAAGACTGATACAATGGACTGCATCAAAACTTAAATCTTTTGTGCTTCAAAGACCATTATCAAGAAAGTAAAAAGACTACAAAATGGAAGAAATATCTGTAAGTCATTTATCAGATTAGGGACTTGTATACAGAATAAGATAATGGTTATGCAGGAGTGCTAATGCCCGTAATCTCAGCACTTTGGGAGGCTGAGGCAGGTGGATTGCTCAAGCCCAGGAGTTCCAGACCAGCTTAGGCAACATAGTGAGACCTCATCTCTACAAAAAAAATACAAAAAACCAGCCGCGTGATGGTGCATGCCTGCAGTCCCAGCTATGTGGGAGGCTGAGGCAGGAGGATCAATTGAGCCCGGGAGGTTGAGGCTACAGTGAGCTATGATCGTGCCACTGCAGTGCAGCCTAGGCACAGAGTGAGATACTGTCTCAAAAAATAAATAAGTTAAAAACAGTGCAAAGGGTCTGAATATGCATTTCTCCAAAGAAGATACACAAATGACCAATAAGCATTTGAAAGGATATTCAACATCATTAATCATTCGGGAAATACAAATTAAAACCTGGAGATTCCACTTTACACCGAGTAAAGACAATGACAAGTACTGTCCAGGATCTGGAGAAACTGCAACTCTCAAATATAAAAGAAAACCCTGGAAAGGCCTGTTTTCCCATGAGTAGGGCTCTTAGAACGCCCCTCCCACTTTTGACCCTACTGAACCCTGAACGACCACATGCATTCCGGCCGGCCCTGGGGTTCCTCTAGGAGTGTAGGGGAGAAGCGTCGCGAGACCCGAGCACCTGTCTTTGGGCAAGCAGTGCTAGGGCCTCCACGGCTCTCATCGTGCCTCTGCGGCCCAGTTCCCCGCCACTAGTAGCCTGGAGAGGAGCTTACCCAAGGCACAGGCCATGGCAGCGCCCACCAGGCCTCCACCCGACACCACCACGTCGTACACAGTGTCTGTTGAGGCGCCGGACCACCTGCGACAGGGCACCAGCGGGCCGCTGTGGGCAGCTGCACGCACAGCGCCCCATCGTCTCACAAGCCGGGCCGCCATGGTGCAGACGTGCGCGGTCGCACTCGGGACACGAGCAGGCCCACCTAGATAGTGCTTCCGGAGCAGAACCCTCCAATCCCGTCCCGCTTCAGCGGCGTCCTCAGAACCGGAAATAAAATGCACGAAAAGAATAGGCCAATCGGAAAGCTAACCCTGCGGGGGTGGGGCTGCCCTGGAAACCAATCAGACACCAAAGCTAGAAAGCGGTGGACCCTGGCCCCTATAGCTACCGCTGTCATCGCTGCTACCGCTGCTGCCACTATCGCTGCTGACTCTGCCCAGCTGAAATGAAATGGGGAGGACTGAGGGAGGCCCCGGCGGCGCGGAGGGGAGGCGTCAGGTGAGGAGAAAAAGAGACCAGAGGAATCAGGACTGCCCCCCGGAAAGAAATCCCATAGAGGAAACTGTTTGGCGTTGCCTTGGAGACAGACTGCAGGGCCGTGGGATTAAAATGATCATTTAGAGACCAAGAGGCGGACTCTGACTTGGAGACCTGTATCTCTTGGACCTTATACGCGGTTCTTCATAGGACCATAGCAATGCCACTCAGTTTTCGCTTATCTTCTCAGTACTGTTTGATCAGTAGTATAATTGCCGTCCCATTTTTGTAGAAGAGAAACCTGAGGCACAAAGTGGTTAAGAAAATTGCCCTCAAATGTGGCTGAGCGCGGCTCACGCCTGTATTCCAGCCTTTGGGAGGCCGAGGCGGGTGGATCACCTGAGGTCAGGAGTCCGAGACCAGGCTGGCCAACATGGCGAAACCCCATCTCTACTAAAAAAAAAAAAAAAAATGCTTGGCGTGGTGGCAGGCGTCTGTAATCCCACCTACTTGGGAGGCTGAGGCAGGAGAATCGCTTTAACCCAGGAGGCAGAGGTCGCAGTGAGCTGAAATCACGCCATTGCACTCCAGCCTGGGCGACAGGAGGAGACTCTGTCTCAAAAACTAAATAAATTAATTAAACAAAAATAATTAGCCGGGGTGGGCGGGGCATAGTAAAAAATAATAATAATAATTAGCCGCCGGGCTCACCCCTGTAATCCCAGCACTTCAGGAGGCCGAGGCAGTTGGATCACGAGGTCAGAAGTTCGAGACCAGAGCCTGGCCAACAGGTTGAAACCCCATCTCTACCAAAAACACAAAAATTAGCTAGGCGTGGTGGCGCAGGCCTGTAATCCTCCGCTACTCAGGAGCCTGAGGCAGGAGAATCGCTTGAACCCGGGAGGCGGAGGTTGCAGTGAGCCGAGATTGGGCCATTGCACTCCAGCCTAGGCCATGACTATCTCCAAAAAAAAAAAAAAGTTTAGAATAATTAGCCAGGTGTGGTGGCGTGTGCCTCCAGTGATCCACGAGCCTCAGCCTCCCAAAATGTTGGGATTACTCCCAAAGTGAGCCACCGCGCCTGGCCGACCCCAAATTATTAAAGACAGAAAGTAGTCTGGTAGTTGCTTACGGCTGGTGGGGTGTGGAGGGTTAGGGGAAATAGGGAGTGACTACTAAAACGTATGGAATTTCTTTTTTTTTTTAATTTTAATAAATGTAAATACATAATAAAGAGGCGCCAGCCTCCCCGAGGCTCCCGGGCCGAGGGAAGAGGGGAGGCCTGGAGTTTCTTTTAGGGGCTATGAAAGTGTTCTAAAATTGTGATGGTAATTGCACAACTCTGTGGGTATACTAAAAACTACTGAATTGTCCACTTTAAATGAGTGAATATATTGTAAATAAATTATATCTTAATAAAGTTGTCTTTTAAAAAAAAGAGAAGTTTGCCCAAAAGATCGCACATTCTTCAGTAGAAGAGTGAGGGCTAGGACGCATACATAGCTCTGACTCTTACCCTGGATTTTAGTAAGCCTGGCTCCTCATCAAACAGCTGTCAATTCAAAATTTCTCCAGTGAAAAATAAAAATCAGCCCAGGACTGAGAAAGTATAACTCAGACTGTCATAGGCACAGATAATGCCAAAGGCAAGAGCATCAGAAAACAGTGATTCTCTCAGAGCCATACCATAGGTACACTCCTTCTTCCAGATGATAATGCTTACTGATCAATTACCCACCCTATTTTATTCTTACCTTTTGAACAAGAATTGCTATTAGGCAGGGTGCAATGGCTCACACCTGTAATCCCAGCACTTTGGGAGGCCGAGGTGGGTGGATCACGAGGTCAAAAGATCGAGACCATCCAGGTCAACATGATGAAACCCCGTCTCTACTAAAAATACAAAAAATTAGCTGGGCATGGTGGCGCGTGCCTGTAATCCCAGCTACTTGGGAGGCTGAGGCAGGAGAACTGCCTGAACCTAGGAGGCAGAGGTTGCAGTGAGCCGAGATCGTGCCATTGCACTCCAGCCTGGGTAACAAAAGCGAAAACTCCGTCTCAAAAAAAAAAAAAAAAAAGTACAAAAATTAGCCAGGTGTGGTGGTGTGTGCCTGTAGTCCCAGCTACTCAGGAGGCTGAGGTGAGAGGATCATCACCTCAGCCCAGGAGGTTCAGGCTGCAGTGAGGCATGATTGCACCACTGCACTCCAGAAACTGGGTAACAGAAAGATCCTGTCTCCAAAAAAAAAAAAAACTGCTTGGGTCAGGCACGGTGGCTCATGCCTGTAATCCCAGCACTTTGGGAGGGCAAGGCAGGTGGATCACGAGGTCAGGATTTCAGGACCAGCCTGGCCAAGATGGTGAAACCCTGTCTCTAATAAAAATACACAACAAATTAGCAGGCACCTGTAATCTTAGCCACTTGGGAGGCTGAGGCAGAGAACTGCTTGAACCTAGAGGTTCCAGTGAGCCAAGATTGCACCACTGCACTCCAGCCTGGGTGATAGATTGAGACTTCATCTCAAAAAAAAAAAAAAATTGCTAATTCATTCACTTACTAAATTGTCCCTACTTCATGACAGCACAATTCCAGGTTGATACCTGGTTCCCCAAATAAATCAGGAAAGCGAACCCTATAAAAATCACGTCCCCACCCTAAGTTCCCTACGGTTTTCCATAGTGTCCTGCAGCAAGTTAAGAAACCTAACTGATGTACTGATTACAGGTACATTTTTAGAAGATCTGATGGACTTTATCAACCAAAAAGCTTTCCAGAGGCACTCCAACTTTTTATAAGCTCATGGTTGTTTATGGTTTTCACAGAATTTATTATCATCTTATATTGTCTGTCTCCTCTCACTATGGTGTAAGCTTCATGAGAGTAAGGACCTTGTTTGTCCTGTTCTCGGTTAAATGCCCAGTGCACATCAGGCACCCAGTAAATATTTTATGAATCAATGGAGTACTGAAAAACTTAATTGGCTGTCCCACTTTTTAGGACATTGCTCTTCCAGCCAGACCATACTCTCTCATTAATCATCCATTCCTTTTTTTTTTTTTGAGATGGAGCTTCTCTCTTGTTTTCCAGGCTGGAGTACAATGGCACAATCTCATCTCACTACAGCCTCTGCCTCCTGGGTTCAAGCGATTCTCCTGTCTCAGCCTCCCAAGTAGCTGAGACTACAGGACCCCACCCAGCTAACTTTTGTATTTTTGTAGAGACGGGGTTTTAGCATGTTAGTCAAGCTGGTCTCGAACTCCTGACATCAGGTGATCTGCCTGCCTCAGCCACCCAAAATGCTGGGATTACAGGTGTGAGCACTGTGCCCAGCCTTCATCCATTCCTTGACAGAGTGCAGATTAGCTAGAATGTGAGGAAAGCAGAGAAGTAGAGACAAGGAAAGGGGAAGAAGGAAGATGAGCAAGAAGTAGGTAAAACCCAAGTAAGGCAGAGTGTGGCCATTGCCACATTGTCACAGGCAGGATTCCTGGAGTACAGGGGTCAGAATGCATGGTGCAGCTGAGGTACTCTAAGAGCTTACTGCACTGTATGGCGCAGGGAACCAGCTTCAGCTCTTCACTCCCCTTCCTTCCCTTCAACCAAGCGCACTTCATAGACCAAGTTGTGAAATTTCTTTAGAGCAAGAAACACAGCTTATTTTTAAAAATTCCTCCCCAGTCCCTAATATACAGAGGCTTATTCAAAGTGAAACTGTTATGTTTTGAATACCTTTGAAATTATTGTTTGACCCACAGTCTTATTTCTATTCTATTTTAGATATTTCTCCCCAAATCCTCCTCTGACACAGAGGCAGGAGAGGAGCTGTCTGGGCATGAACTGGTTTTGCCCAGGGCTGGCAAACTTGATGAGTTCCTCAGCCCAGAGGAGGAGATAGATTCTACTTCTGACTCAACTGGGAGCTTTTACCAGACCTTACAGGTACTAAAGCAGAAAGGCAGACCATATCTGTTGGAGTCTCTCTTTCAGTCTGACCCAGATAGTGATGAAAACCTCTCTGAAGATGAGGAGGACCTGGAGAGTTTCTTCCAAGACGAGGACAGAGGGAAGGTGCAGGCCCAGTGCCCCCAGGCTCTGAGGTAAGGCACTGCGGTTGCACAGCTGCCTCGCTCCACACCTCCGCACAGGTCACACCGTGTCTCTGGGCTTCATGCACTTCTGCAAGTTGTCGTTTACTGAGGCGCCAGCTAACAATCAACTTTTGGCTCCAGACAGGGGTTCTGATTCCGCCCCAGGAATCCTAAATCACTTTGGGCAACACTTAGTCCAGGGATGCACTTAAATTAATCAAAAGGGAAGCCTTTCCTCAGGTGTGGTGGCTCACACCTATAATCCTGGCACTTTGGGAGGCCGAGGCAGGCAAATCACTTGAGGTCAGGAGTTTGAGACCAGCATGGCCAACATGGTGAAACCCCATCTCTACTGAAAATACAAAAATTAGCCAGGTGTTGTGGCAGGCACCTGTAATCCCAGCTACTCGGGAGGCTGAGACACGAGAATCCCTTGAGCCTGGGAGGTGGAGGATGCAGTGAGCCAAGATCACGCCACTGCACTCCAGCCTGGGTGACAGAGTGAGACTCTGTCTCAACAAATAAAAATATAAAAAATATAGGGAAGCCTTTCTTAAACACACTTTCCCTGAGAATGACAACACAGTACGTTTATCTTGGTCAAGTCTTTCTCCTCCAATACCCTGGTAAGTAGACATTAATTTTTGCCATTCTACAGAGGAAGAAACTGAGGTTTTAACAGTACGTTGCTCAAAGTTTGAAGCAAGATTTAATCCCAGGTCTGTTTGACTCTAAAGCTCTACTTTGCTCATTGTCTGTTCTCTCATGAAATACTAGAGTGCAGGCCAGGCGCAGTGGCTCATGCCTGTAATCCCAGCACTTTCGGAGGCTGAGGCGGGTGGATCAAAGGGTCAGGCATTCAAGACCCACCTGGGCAACATGGTAAAACTCCATCTCTACTAAAAATTCAAAAAAAAAATAGCTGGGTGTGGTGGCACATACTTGTAATCCCAGCTACTCAGAATCGCCTTAACCCAGGAGCTGGAGGTTGCAGTGAACTGAGATCGTGCCACTGCACTCCAGCCTGGGCAACAGAGCAAGACTCCATCTCAAAAAAGAAAAAAAAAAAAAAGAAATATCCGAGTGCAAAGTGGCAATTTTGTGATCAGTTCTGAGAAAATTCTGAGAAGAGACTTTCCATTAGGGCTGCTAGGATTGTCTGTGGGAAGGTTATGGGTATAGAGGCCTTTGGGCTGTGGTATTAGGCCGAGAAGCCAGCTGTGACCAATGGAAGGGAGAACTGGGGAGGAGGGTCAGGGAGGAGGTCTGGAGGGAGTGGGGCCTCCTGACTGCCCTGTCCTCCACACACAGATCTGCTTTCTTCCCAGGAGTGGCTCCACAAGGCGCTGCAGCTCCCTGAGCAGCCTTCCCTCCAACATTCCCAGGGCTCAGACTCAGCCCTGCTCAGGCTTGAGGATTCCCTCCCAGCACAGAAGTGTCAGCTCTTGGGCATCATCCATCACTGTCCCTCGGCCATTCCACATGATGCTGCGCGAGGCCCGGAAGAAGTCCGAGTGGCTGGCCTCGCCTGCCTCCTTTGAGCAGGAGAGGCAGCGGGCCCAAAGGCAGGGCGAGGAAGAGGCCGAATGCCATAGGCAGTTCCGGGCACAACCTGTGCCTGCACATGTCTACCTGCCCCTCTACCAAGAGATCATGGAGAGCAGCGAGGCCCAAAGGCGGGCAAGGATCCAGAAGAGGAAAGAACTGCTCCTCTCTTCTGTGAAGCCCTTCAGCTTCCTGGAGAAGGAGGATCAGCTAAAGGAAGCTGCTCGACAGAGAGACTTGGCTGCCACAGCTGAAGCCAAGATCTCCAAGCAGAAGCCCACCAGAAGGATCCCCAAGTCCATTTTGGAGCCAGCCCTTGGGGATAAACTCCAGGGTAAAGACATTCTTGCCACCTTGCCACCTCCTGCCTCAGGGTCCCAATCCCACCATAGGGATTTTTTTTTTTTAATCTTAACCTCACTCACCTCTTACACTGTAGGGATTTAGTCAGCGCCTGGGGGTTGGCCTGGCTTGAAGATGCGCTACCTGGGTGGACCCACTAGAGACTGCATGCTTAGTGCAGGCCATCAGGGAGGGTTAGGTCTGTCTATACAATTGGGAGCCCTGTATGGACCAAGGAGTGAGAGGTCCCACAGTGTCCCCAAGGCTCATCCTGTTGACATCTGAGTGGATGAACATGATGGCCTCTGTACCAGCACAGATGCAGGAATCGAGAACTAGTGGGACACTCAAGGACCAGCTTAGGCTCACATCACCACCAGCACACTACCCTGAGATGCTCCCCATGGCTCCTTCATCATGGTGACATAGTGTCAGTCACTGAAAAATTACCTCGGGGATGATTTTTTTTTTTTTTTTTTTGAGACAGAGTTTTGCTTTTGTTGCTCAGGCTGGAGTGCAATGGTGAGATCTCAGCTCACCGCAACCTCCACCTCCCAGGTTCCAGCGATTCTTCTGCCTCAGCCTCCCAAGTAGCTGAGATTACAGGTGTGCACCACCAAGCCCAGCTAATTTTTTGTATTTTTAGTAGAGATGAGGTTTCTCCATGTTGGTCAGGCTGGTCTCGAACTCCCGACCTCAGTGATCCACCTGCCTTGGCCTCCCATAGTGCTGGGATTACAGGTGTGAACCACCGTACCCAGCCAGGGGGATGATTACACATTTCAAAAAGTAGAGCTCCAAATAAGGGGCTCAGGCTTTCTTCACTCTTCAGTAGCATATACCATGCTCCAGGCACTGTTCCATGGTGAACAGACATGGACTTTGTAGACATGTGAGGAAAACAGATAAATACATACAAATGTGATGAGATATTTATAAGGATTAAAGGGGGGACACATGGAAGCATGTATCGGAGGGACCTAACCCGGGGTTTGGTGAAGGAAGGGAGCAGTTAGGGAGGGTCCCCTGGGGCTGAATTGAAGGAGGGGCAAAGAGGGAGGAAAAGGGGAGTAAGCAGAATGTAGCAGGGAGGGGAGAGAAAGTGGATCATCTACAAGGGATGGAAGGGTAGAGGCTAAGAGGGAGTGGGCAGGGAGAGGCAGGCACAGGCCACACGTGGAGCCTTGCAACCACGTTAGGGAGTCTGGACTTCATCCCAAGGGTATAGGAGAGCCACTGAGGGATTTAAGCAGAGTGGCCCATGACCAGAAATACAGTTCAGAAGGGTCCTTCTGATTGCTGTGTAGATAATCCAAGAGGCAGCAAGACTGGAGGGTGTTGAGCCAAGAGGAAGCTACTTCACAGTTCAGTTGAGAAATCAATGCAGCTGGGGGCAGGGATGAAGAAAAGAGGATGGGCTGGAGAGAGGTTAAAGAGGAGGAAAGGACAGAACCTGTGACTGATGAGAGACAGAGGAATCAGTGATTTGGGCAAAGGGCTTGGGCAGCTGGGTAGCTGGTGGGGCCTTTCTCTAAGATGAGGAAACCTGAGAGAGGAGCAGGTGACTGGCCCACTTCCTCCTGCTTCATCTCTGAAGAAATCATAGGAAGTGCTAAGTGTAGACGGTCGCTGCTTCTGCAGCCCGATTGGCCCAGGCAGTGGTATTCTGGATGACAAGCTCTCCAGAACAAAAAAAGCAAGCTGTTTTGTAACGTTTGTTATTTTCTGTGGTATAAATACTCCTATCAAGGCCATCTGCAAGCATCCCATGGGATGTTAACATGTGTCAGAATTCCTGAAAAGTTCATAGTTGCCTCCAGTACACTTAGGGCTAGTGTGTAAAAGGAAAAGTCCTCCAACCCTGTAGGTTTCATGCTTGGTCCTTTCTTACCCATCACCATCCTTTCTCCACAGAAGCCGAGCTATTCAGGAAAATTCGTATCCAGATGAGAGCCCTGGACATGCTCCAGATGGCCTCTTCCCCTATCGCCTCCTCTAGTAACAGGGCTAACCCACAGCCCCGCACAGCCACCCGGACCCAGCAGGAAAAGCTTGGGTTTCTGCACACTAACTTTGGATTCCAGCCTCGGGTGAATCCTGTGGTCCCTGACTATGAAGCCCTTTACAAGGCCTTCCAGAGAAGAGCAGCCAAAAGAAGAGAAACCCAAGAGGCCACTCACAACAAGCCCTTCCTGCTGAGGACTGCCAACCTGCGCCACCCTCAGCATCCCTGTGATGCCACCACCAGCAGAGAGAGGACAGTGAGAGCCCAGGCAGCTGTGGTAGGGTCAGGGCTGGGGCTTGAAATGCAGGGTGGGTCCAGGTCTGACTGGAAAGGATTTCTCAACATGTTCCTATCTTTTTTTTTTTTTAACGGAGTCTCACTGTGTTCCCTAGTCTGGAGTGCAGTGGTGCAATCTGGGCTCACTGCAACCTCCACCTCCTGGGTTCAAGTGATTCTCCTGCCTCAGCCTCCCAAGTAGCTGGGATTACGGGGACCTGCCAACATGCCTGGCTAATTTTTGTATTTTTAGTAGAGGCTGAGGCAGGAGAATCACTTGAGCCCAGGAAGCAGAGTTTGCAGTGAGCTGAGATTGCGCCACTGCACTCAAGCCTGGGTGACAGAGTAAGATTCTGTCTCCAAAAAAAAAAAAGAGATAGAAAATGGCCAGGTGCAGTGGCTCACACCTGTAATCCCAGCACTTTGGGAGGCTGAGGCGGGTGGATCACCTGATGTCAGGAATTCGAGATCAGCCTGGCCAACATGGCAAAACCCCATCTCACTAAAAATGCAAAAATTAGCCAGGTATGGTGGCTCACAACTTGTATAGTCCCAGCTACTTGAGAGGCTGAAGTATAAGAATCGCTTGAACCAGGCAGGTGGAGATTACAGTGAGCCAAGATTGCGTCACTACACTCCAGCCTGGGCAAAACAGTGAGACTGTCTCAAAAAAAAAAGGAAACTAATCACACATGCTGTCCCACCAATACCAGTCTTTGTTTCTTCTAGGATTCCCCACAGCCACCAGCTACACCCCTGCCAAGGAGTCGTTCTCTGAGTGGCCTTGCCTCCCTCTCTGCCAACACTCTCCCTGTGCACATCACAGATGCCACCAGGAAGAGGGAATCTGCAGTCAGGTGAGTGCTCAGGCTGTACAAGACCCATGCTCTGATTCTGGCCCAAAATGCTGGAAACCTCCCTGCTGAGGGGCCTCCTTTTCTGTTGTCAGAGACACCTCAAGGGGTCAAAGGAAATTTTTGGATTAGGACAGGAACAAGTGCAGTTCTCCATACCTGGTACTGGAGAACAGCTAGCCAGCATTTGGCACATATTCACCGTGGGCTTATTCTGTACCAGCAACAGTGTTGAAGCTGGAGATCTTGGGGACCCTACAGTTTATGATCTAGTCTGAAATACAGAAAAGCAAAGAGGCAATGGCTGTCTTTTTTGAGCACTGCAATGATGGGGTGAATGGGACTGTGAGGGCATTGGGCAGCCTGAAGCAGAGGTGTCTTGTCTTGTGGAATAGATGTCTAAAGTGAAACCTGAAGAACCAGGATGAGTTGGCCAGACAAAGCCTGGAGAGAAGGAAGGTTCCAAACAGAGAGAACCTGGATAAAAGCCCATGGGTGAGACGAAGGGAGTTGTGAGGAACAAGAACTCAGAGAAGAATGCTAGCAGGTGGCTGAAGCTGCTGCAAAGATGAGACATCCATTGCACAGATTTGAGATTCTCTGAGATTCATCTTGGGGAGATGTCAGAGTCAGTTGGGCAGCAAGAGCCCAACTCTTCAGCTGACCTTACTCTGTTATGATGTTCTCATTGAGCCAGCCCCCAGGGAGTGTTCCTACACTGGGCTTCTGAGCCAAAGCAGGCAAGAGAGATCATGGTGTATTGAGCAGCTTAGCCCAGGGAGAGGACTCATGTCTTCCTGTGGGGCTTGTAGGGGAGTACTCAGAACCTACTTGGTCCTTAAGCCTCACAACAGGGATCATAGAAAAGTATTTACAGTCCAAGAGATACTCCTTTCTTCTTCAAACTTCGGTTAGATCTACTAAACCAGGGCCAATTGCTCAGTATCCTGAGAGCCCAAAAACACAGGCCTCATGAACAAAGAGGCTGGCCCACCTATAGAGGATATCCACAACTGCATTCCAGCCACAGGGAATCTGACATATTAGCAGATTAAATTTTCATGTTATTCTTCCTAGTCTGTCCATTTGAATGTAAACATCCAAATATGAGTCTTGATTGATTTTCCTTTTGGAAGAACTCAACATATTACCTTGTAGATAACTGAACAAACGAAGTGCTACAAATTGAACCCAAATAGTCTGCACTGAAGGAGGTTCATTTTCCAGTTCTCTCTGAATATGCATATTTGTATTCCCAAAGTACCATGAACCCAGGCACCTTCCAGCCTACTGTTTATAGCAGAGTGGTCAAGGGCAAAGGCTTGGGAGTCAAAAGATCCTGGTTCCAATAGGGGCTTTTCTACTGGCGTGTTGGGTAGTTTTGAGCAAGTGGCTTACCTCCCTTGAGCCTCAACGTCCTCTCCTATAAAAAGGGGAGTTAGGCCAGGTGCAGTGACTCACGCCTGTCATCCTAGCACTTTGGGAGGGCAAGGCAGATGAATCACCTGAGGTCAAGAGTTCAAGACCAGCCTGGCCAACATGGTGAAACCCTGTCTCTACTAAAAATATAAATATTAGCTGGGCGTGGTGGTGGGCAGCTGTAAACCTAGCTACTGAAGATACTGAAGCAGGAAAATTGCTTGAACCCAGGAGGCGGAGGTTGCAGTGAGCGGAGATGGCACCACTGCACTCCAACCTGGGCAGCAACAGCAAGATTCCATCTCATTACAAAAAAATGGCAGCAGGGGGATTTAGTATTTACCTCGTATGGGAGTTATGAGGACTACATGAAATGCAATGGTCAGAAAAGGATCCAAGATGGCCGATTAGGAGCAGCTCTAGATTGCAGCTACAAGCGAGAGCTCAGAGGCCACTGCAGGTGATCCCCAGGCAAGCAGGGTGGACCTCCAGCAGTCCTACAGTAGAGGGGCCTGACTATTAGAAGGAAAACTAAGAAACAGAAAGAAATAACTTCATCTTCAACAAACTGGACATCCACTCAGAGACCCCATTTGAAAGTCACCAACTACAAAGACCACAGGAAAATAAATCCACAAAGATGGGAAGAAACCAGCGCAAAAAAGGATGGAAGCACACAAAACCAGAACGTCTCTCCTCCTCCAAGGGATCACAACTCCTCACCAGCAAGGGAACAAGGCTGGATGGAGAATGAGTCTGATGAATTGACAGAAACAGGCTTCAGAAGGTGGGTAATAAGAAACTTCTCTGAGCTAAAAGAACATGTTCTAACCCAATGCAAGGAAACTAAGAACCTTGAAAAAAGATTTGATGAAATGCTAATGAGAATAAACACCTTGGAGAGGAATATAAATGTTGTAATGGAGCTGAAAAACACAACACGAGAACTTCGCAAAGCATACACAAGTTTAAATAGCCGAATTGACCAAGCAGAAGAAAGGATATCAAAGGTCAAAGATCATCTCAATGAAATAAAACGAGAAGGCAAGATTAGAGAAAAAAGAGTAAAAAGAAACGAATAAAGCCTCCAAGAAATATGGGATTATGTGAAAATACCTAATCTACATTTGATAGGTGTAACTGAATGTGACGGAGAGAATGAATCCAAGCTGGAAAAGACTCTTCAGGATATTATCCAGGAGAATTTCCCCAACCTAGCAAGGCAGGCCAATATTCAAGTCCCGGAAATACAGAGAACACCACAAAGATATTCCTCAAGAAGAGCAACCTCAAGGCACATAATAGTCAGATTCACCAGGGTTGAAATGAAGGAAAAAATGCTAATGGCAGCAAGATAGAAAGGTCAGGTTACCCACAAAGGGAAGCCCATCAGACTCACAGCTGAGCTCTCAGCAGAAACCCTACAAGCCAGAAGAGAGTGGGGACCAATATTCAACATCCTTAAAGAAAAGAACTTTCAACCTAGAATTTCATATCCAGCCAAACTAAGTTTCATAAGCAAAGGAGAAATAAAATCCTTTACGAACAAGCAATTACTCAGATTTCATCACCACCAGGCCTGCTTTACAAGAGCGCCTGAAAGAAGCACTAAACATAGAAAGGCACAACCAGTACCAGCCACTCCAAAAACATACCAAATGGTAAAGAGCATCGACACAATGAAGAAACTGTATCAAATAACAAGCAAAACAACCAGCTAGCATCAAAATGACAGGATCAAATTCACACATAACAATATTAACCTTCAATGTAAATGGGCTAAATGCCCCAATCAAAAGACACAGACTGGCAAATTAGATAAAAAGTCACAACCCATCACTGTGCTGTATCCAGGAAACCCATCTCACATGCAAGGATACACATAGGCTGAAAATAAAGGGATGGAGGAGGATTTACCAAGCAACTGGAGAGCAAAAAAAAAGCAGGAGTTGCAATCCTAGTCTCTGATAAAATAGACTTTTTTTTTTTGAGACAGAGTTTCTCTGTTGTTACCCAGACTGGAGTGCAATGGCACGATCTCGGACCACTGCAACCTCCACCTTCTGGGTTCAAGCAATTCTCCTGCCTCAGCCTCCCAAGTAGCTGGGACTACAGGCGCACACCACCATGCCCAGCTAATTTTTTTGTATTTTTAGTAGAGACGGGGTGGCACCTTATTGACCAGGATGGTCTCGATCTCTTGACCTCGTGATCCACCCTCCTCGGTCTCCCACAGTGCTGGGATTATAGGCGTGAGCCACCATGCCCGGCCTGATAAAATAGACTTTAAACCAACAAAGATCAAAAGAGACAAAGAAGGGCATTACATAATGGTAAAAGGATCAATGCAACAAGAAGAGCTAATGCTCCTAAATATATATGCATCCAATACAGGAGCACCCAGATACTTAAAGCAAGTTCTTAATGACTTACAAAGAGACTTAGACTCCCACACAATAATAGTGGGAGACTTTAACACTCCACTGTCAATATTAGACATATCAACGAGACAGAAAATTAACAAGGATTTCCAGGACTTAAACTCAGACCTGGACCAAGCAAACCTAACAGACATTTACAGAACTCTCCACCCCAAATCCACAGAATATACATTCTTCTCAGCACCACATCATACCTACTCTAAAATTGACCACATAATCGGAAATAAATCATTCCTCAGCAAATGCAAAAGAACGGAAATCCTAACAGTCTCTCAGACCATAGTGCAATCAAGTTAAAACTCAGAATTCAGAAACTAACTCAGAACCATACAGCTTCATGGAAACTGAACAACTGGCTCTTGGATGTTGACTGGATAAACAATGAAATGAAGCCAGAAATAAAGATGTTCTTCGAAACCAATGAGAACAAAGACACAACATACCAGAGTCTCTGGGACACATTTAAAGCAGTGTCTAGAGGAAAATACATAGCAATAAATGCCCACATGAGAAGCAAGGAAAAAAAAAGAAAAAGAAAATGCCGGGTGCGGTGGCTCACACCTGTAATCCTAGCACTTTGGGAGGCCAAGGTGGGTGGATCACCTGAGGTCAGGAGTTCAAGACCAGCCTGGCCATCATGGTGAAACCCCATCTTTAAAAAAAAAAAAAAAAAGAAGAAGCAAGGAAAAATCTAAAATTGACACCCTATCGTTAAAATTGAAAGACCTAGAGGAGCAAGATCAAAAAAACTCAAAAACCTAGCAGAAGACAAGAAATAACTAAGATCAGAGCAGAACTGAAGGAGTTAGAGATACAAAAAACCCTTCAAAAAAATCAATAAATCCAGGAACTGATTTTTTGAAAAGATCAACAAAATAGACAGACCACTAGCCAGATTAATAAAAAAGAAAAGAGAGAAGAATCAAATAGATGCAATAAAAAATGATAAAGGGGATATCACCACAGATTCCACAGAAATACCACCATCAGAGATTACTACAAACAACTCTATGCATATAAATCAGTAAACCTGAAAGAAATGGCTAAATTCCTGGACACTTGCATCCTCCCAAGCCTAAACCAGGAAGAAGTCGAAACCCTGAATAGACCAATAACAAGGGCTGAAGTTGAGGCAGCAATTAATAGCCTATCAACCAAAAAAAGCCCAGGTCCAGATGGGTTCACAGCCGAATTCTACCAGACATATAAAATGGAGCTGGTACCACTCCTTCTGAAATTATTCCAAACAATCCAAAAAGAGGGAATCCTTCCCAAATCATTTTATGAGACGAACATCATCCTGATACCAAAACCCGGCAGAGACTCAACAAAAAAAGAAAACTTCAGGCCAACATCCATGATGAACATAGATGCAAAAATCTTCAGTAATATACTGGCAAACCGACTGCAACAGCACATCAAAAAGCTTATCCACCATGATCAAGTAGGCTTCATCCCGGGGATGCAAGGCTGGTTCAACATACGCAAGTCTATAAACATAATTCACCACATAAACAGAACCAAAGACAAAAACCACATTATTATCTGAATAGATGCAGAGAAGGCCTCTGACAAAATTCAACAGCCATTTATGCTAAAAACTCTCAAAAACTAGGTATTGACAGAACGTTTCTCAAAATAGTAAAAGCTATTTACAACAAATTCACATCCAATATACTGAATGGGCAAAAACTGCAAGCATTCCCTTTGAAATCTGGCACTAGAAAAGGATGCCCTCTCTCACAACTCCTATTCAATATAGTACTGGAAGTTCTAGCCAGAGCAATCGGGCAAGCAAAAGAAATAAAGAATATTCAATTAGGAAAGGAGGAAGTCAAATTGTCTCTATTTGCAAGCAACATGATTGTATATTTAGAAGACCCCATCATCTCAGCCCAAAATCTCCTGAAACTGATAAGCAACTTCAGCAAAGTCTCAGGATACAAAATCAATGTGCAAAAATCACAAGCATTCCTATACACTAATAACAGACTTAAAGAGAGCCAAATCAAGGATGAACTGCCATTCACAATTGCTACAACGAGAATGAAATACCTAGGAATACAACTAACAAAGAATGTAAAGGACCTCTTCAAGGAGAACTGCAAACCACTGCTCAAAGAAATAAGAGAGGACACAAACAGATGAAGAAACATTCCATGCTCATGGTTAGGAAGAATCAATAGCGTGAAAATGGCCATACTGCCCAGAGTAATTTACAGATTCAACACTATCCCCATCAAGCTACCAATGACCTTCTTCACAGAACTGGAAAAAAACACCTTAAACTTCATATGGAACCAAAAGACAGCCCGCATAGCCAAGTCAATTCTAAGTACAAAGAACAAAGATGGAGGCATCACACTACCTGACTTCAAACTATACAAGGCTACAGTAATCAAAAGAGCATGGTACTGGTACCAAGACAGAGATAGAGACCAATGGAACAGAACAGAGTCCTTGGAGGCAACAGCACACATCTACAACCATCTGATCTTTGACAAATCTCACAAAAACAAGCAATGGGGAAAGGATTCCCTGTTTAATAAATGGTGTTGGGAAAAGTGGAGCCATGTGCAGAAAGCAGAAACTGGACCCCTTCCTGACACCTTACACTAAAATTAACTCCAGATGGATTAAAGACTTAAACATAAGACCTAACACCATAAAAACCCTGGAAGAAAATCTAGGCAAAACCATTCAGGACATAGGCATAGGCAAAGACTTCATGACTAAAACACCAAAACCATTGGCAACAAAAGCCAAAATAGGCAAATGGGAACTAATCAAACTCCAGAGCTTCTGCATAGCAAAAGAAAGTTATCAGAGTGAATCGGCAACCAACGGAATGGGAAAAAACTTTTTGCAATCTACCCATCTGACAAAGGGCTAATATCCAGAATCTACAAAGAAGTATAACAGATTTACAAGAAAAAAACAAGGCCATTCAAAAGTGGGCAAAGGATATGAACACTTTGCAAAAGACGACATACCTGAGGCCAAGAAACATACGAAAAAATGCTCATCATCACTGGTCATTAGAGAAGTGCAAATCAAAACTACATTGAGATACCATCTCATGCCAGTTAGAATGGCGATCATTAAAAAATCTGGAGACAACAGATGCTAGAGAGGATGTGGGGAAACAGGAACACCTGTACACCGTTGGTGGGAGTGTAAATTAGTTCAAATATTGCGGAAGACAGTGTGGCGATTCCTCAAGGACCTAGAAATAGAAATTCCATTTGACCCAGCAATCCCATTACTGGGTATATATCCAAAGGATTATAAATCGTTCTATTATACGGACACATGCACACAAACGTTCACTACAGCACTGTTTACAGTAGCAAAGACTTGGAACCAACCCAAATGCCTATTGATAGAATGGACAGGGATAATGTGGCACACATACACCATGGAATACTATGCAGCCATAAAAAACTATGAGTTCGTGTCCTTTGTAGGGACATGGATGAACCTGGAAACCATCATTCTCAGCAAACTGACATGAACAGAAAATCAAACACCGCATGTTCTCACTCATAGGTGGGTGTTGAACAATGAGAACACAGGGACACAGGGAGGGGAGTATCACAGGCTGGGGTTTGTTAGGGGGAACTAGGGGAGGGACAGCGGGGGGTGGGGAGTTGGGGAGGGATAACATGGGGAGAAATGCCAGATATAGGTGATGAGGAGGAAGGCAGCAAACCACATTGCCATGTAACAAGATTGTTGCCTATGCAACCATCTTGCATGTTCTTTACATGTATCCCCAAACCTGAAATGCAATAAAATATATATTAAAAAAAAAAAAAAAAGAAATGTAACGGTCTTGGTTCATGATAGGGAGCTCAGTAAATGGTAGCTGTTAGTATTATTTTTGTATCCAAATAGGCAAAGACCTATTGAGTGTTGGGCTATTTAAGTAAGGAGATATATATATATATATTCCCCTCCTCCCCCCACAAGATGGAATCTTGCTCTGTCACCCAGGCTAGAGTGTAGTGGCCTGATCTCGGCTCACTGCAACCTCTGCTTCCCAGGTTCAGTGATTCTCCTGCCTCAGCCTCCCAAGTAGCTGGGATTACAGCTACCCACTACTATACCCAGCTAATTTTTTTTTGTATTTTTGCTAGAGATGGGGTTTCACCATGTTGGCCAGGCTGGTCTTGAACTCTGACCTTGTGATCCGCCTACCTTGGCCTCCCAAAGTTCTGGGATTACAGGCATGAGCCACTGCACCCTGCCTAAGGATATTTTAACTGACATTTCTCCATTTCAGTAAATGCACTTCTAGGGTAGGAAATCACTATGTCCCTAGTGCTGGAAAGGCTTCATCTGCCAGTACATTTAATCCTAGAATTTTATTGTTTTCAAAATGCCCCCATTCACTGAAAACACCAACTTACTTTCCAGAAGAGGTTACTAAGATTGCTTTTATTTCATTTTTAAATTAATTAATTAATTAATTAATTTTTGAGACAGAGTATGGAGTTGCCCAGGATGGAGTGCTGTGGCTCGATCTCAGTTCACTGCAACCTCCATCTCCTGAGTTCTAGCAATTCTCCTGCCTCAGGAGAACTGTGATCCACCTACCTTGGCCTCCCAAAGGGCTGGGATTACAGGCGTGAGCCACCGCGCCCAGTCTAAGATTGGTTTTCAATATACCCAAATTAGTAATCTATACTCTTTTTCTGCTTCCTCCCTTTAGAAGTGCACTTGAAAAAAAGAACAAAGCAGATGAGAGTATTCAGTGGTTGGAGATACACAAAAAGAAGTCTCAAGCGATGTCCAAATCTGTGACCTTGCGTGCAAAGGCCATGGATCCCCATAAAAGCCTGGAGGAAGTGTTCAAAGCAAAGCTGAAAGAGAACCGGTCAGTGTCAAAAGGGGTACTTGCCTTGAGATCCAACAGACCACTGGCCTGTTGCCAGAAAATGCAAAATGGAATTACTGGGGTAGGTAGGCTCCTGTAATCACAGCAGGGTCATGATTTTCCAAGTCAGATAGGAATTTACAATGTACATGAGAGATACACTGCTTAACTGGAAATGAAGGGTATTCTAGATTAGAAAAGATGGAATTATTTCTAAAAATCTTGCTAATTCCAGGAACAATGACCGTAAAAGAGTGAAAGAATATAAGAAAGAATTGGGAGAAATGAAGAAGAGAATACAAACAAGGCCCTATCTCTTTGAACAAGTTGCCAAGGTAAAACTAAACCATTATTTGTTTTCTGCCTTATATAAAAGGGCTCTGAGAAATTATTAAAACAATTTTAATATGTAGGTTTTAAATCTTTCCTTGAGGCCCAGAAATTCTAATTTCATTCCCACCTTTTCCCAAAATAAATGGTACAATAGAGAATGCTGCTTGTGTTGATTTCATCCAAGAGTGAACTCCAAATACATCTGTAAAGGGATATTTTACTTCTAGAGCTTTCACTATAGTCTAGCATTCAGATTTCATCAGAGTGGGCATTACACCCCAGAGACACAGGGACCATTGGCTTGTTCTGCTCTCTGGAGCCACTGTCACAGTGCGCGAAGTCATCTCTCCTTTGGCAGTGCTACTGCCCTGGGCCTCCCCACCTCTAGATCTGTGGCACATTTATAGGTCTCCAAGGATTAGGAAGCTCACAAACACCCCTCAAGGCTCTTCTTAGAGTAAGTGGCTTTCAGGCTCAAAGATTATTATTTTTTTCGTGTGTGTGTGTGTGTGTGTGTGTGTGTGTGTTCCTTGTGGAGCAGGGCTAGCTAACCCATAGGCAGTGTACCCAAAGTATCCTGGAAGACTATCATTTTAAGATATTCTCAGCCGGGTGTGGTAGCTCACACCTGTAATCCCAGCACTTTGGGAGGCCAAGGTGGGTGGATCACAAGGTCAGGAGGTCAAGACCATCCTGGCTAATGCAGTGAAACCCTGTCTCCACTAAAAATGCAAAAAATTAGCTGGGCGTGGTGGCGCACACCTGTAGTCCCAGCTACTCAGGAGACTGAGGCAGGAGAATCGCTTGAACTCAGGAGGCGGAGGTTGCAGTGAGCCAAGATCGTGCCACTGCACTCCAGCCTAGGCGACAGAGCAAGACTCCATTTCAAAATATATATATATTTTTTTTTCAAAACTTTACAGACGTTGGACTCAGCTGAGATCTCCCTAAGGATTCTCTGGATTTGCTGCATTAGGCTATGTGGGTTTCTTTCCTCTCTAGTTTCAGACAAGTTGGGGTTCCCTAGTGACCTAGTTCCAGTGGTGGGGCATTAGCTCCATCTTATAGCTAGTACATTATCCAGACATTTGCTGGGTCCACTTCCTCCTCCATCCATAAGTCTCTCCTCTCACACAAACACACACGGTCTTGGATTTACTTAGCAACCTGCATTGTTTGAAATCTCTCGTGCTTCATGTTAATGTTAAGCAAGCTCACTCTTCAGAGCTCAACAGTCTCACCTCTCTAGGAAAAATACAAAGTACTGATTTTGTTCTTGAGACTTAAACAAAAAAAATAACATTCTTCTGGTCCACATGTAGACCATCTGTCCTTTCATTAAGAGTCTTGGTGTACTTTATTTTCTATTTTATTTTAGTATTCCTGATAATGGTTTGTTACTTTAAAATCTTTCATCTGTCCTTTTGAATCTGTCTCCCAAAAGTCTAAGTCATTGCTTTTCAAAATTGTGGCTCCCAAATCAACAGTTTGGCATCTCTGGGGAGTGTTAGAAATATAAAATTACAGGCCTCATCTGACACCTACCAAATGAGAAATTTGCATTTTAACAAGACCACAGGTGATTTATACATACATTAAGGCATGAAAACAAGGGTTAAGTAATTTTCATGCAAATCTGTACCCCACAGTAAGGGTGGTGGTGGTAGTGGCAGTATTCTAAGAATGCTGATTAAGTAATTTAGAATTGTCTGGTAATTCATAAGACAGCTACAGCAGATTAATTTCCATCCCACAGGATCTAGCCAAGAAAGAAGCAGAACAATGGTATCTAGACGCCCTGAAGCAGGCTGGGCTGGAGGAAGACTTTGTGAGAAGCAAGGGACAAGGTATCCAGGCTGTACAAGAGGAGGAGACCCAAGTCAAGGACCTTTCCAGGTAACCTGAGATGTTGATGTCACCTCTCTAAATTGTCATCCCCAGTAGTACCACTGGGAGGAAGCTTTAGAATGGCCACTGGTATTAGGATATCATAATCCTGTATTTATATGATATTAATAACTAATCCAGAGATCTCCAGGTAACACATTTGAATTTAGACAGTGGTGCAGTTGTGAATAAAATCTGACAAATTATGTTTAGTTTTCTTCCATTTTGAAACAGATCATTTTCCAATTCCAGTTCCAATTCCATGAGCCGAAACTATTACTACTTTATTTTTGGAAAAAAATCACGTATATTTTGACTTCTTATAAAACTATAAAACTCTTTTTCTATCATTCCTTGAAGGTAGCTTATTATTATCACCTTCTCCATTACCCACTTTGATATTGAGAAAAGACAGATCTATCTCCATTATTCTTAATTGTTTTGTATCTTAAACCCTAGTAGCCCCCGGCCGGGCGTGGTGGCTCACACCTGTAATCCCAGCATTTTGGGAGGCCAAGGCAGGCAGATCACAAGGTCAAGAGATCGTGACCATCCTGGACAACATGGTGAAACCCCATCTCTACTAAAAAATACAAAAATTAGCAGGGCGTGGTGGTGTGCACCTGTAGTCACAGCTACTCGGGAGGCTGAGGCAGGAGAATTGCTTGAACCCAAGAGGCGGAGGTTGCAGTGAGCCAAGAGTGTGCCACTGCACTCCAGCCTGGCGCCCGGCAACCGAATGAGACTGTCTCAAAAATAAAAAAATCCTACTAGCCCCTACCCTAATTTCTATCTCAGTTTTATGCCCCTAGAAATTTTCCTTTACATCCCATATAAAATAATAATAATGTTGAGACCATTCTTAAACCTTACACAGTGCTTTAAAATGTTATTTTTCAGACTGGGCACAGTGGCTCAGGCCTGTAATCCCAGCACTTTGGGAGGCTGAAGTGGGTGGATCATTTGAAGCCAGGAGTTCGAGACCAGCCTGGGCAACATAGCAAAACGCTATCTCTACAAAAAGTAAAAAAAAAAAAAATTATCTGGGCACAGTGGCGTGTGCCTGTAATCCCAGCTACCTGGGAAGCTGAGGTGGGAAGATTGCTTGAGCCGGGCTGTCCAGGCTGCAGTGAGCCAAAATCATGCCACTGCACTCCAGCCTAGGTGACACAGTGAGACCCTGTCTGGGAAAAAAAAAAAAAATTCATGTTTTAATTTATTTTGCAGCATCCAAGAAACTACAAAATTCAGCATCAGAGATCCAGAGCAGGATTTAGAAGGATCTCTAGAACAGCCTGCAAGCCCCAGGAAAGTACTGGAGGAGCTATCTCATCAATCACCAGAAAATCTCCAATCACTTGCTTAATCCCTACACTTAAAATTATTGCTTTTGAAAAATATTAAGCAGCTAATTTGGGTTTGAGTCAAGGCAGGCAAAACTTGGGTTTTGAGTCATGGCTACTGCTACAGGATGGGGGAAAAGAAGAGTTGGTCGTGATGGCTCACACCTGTAATCCCAGCACTTTGGGAGGCTGAGGTGGGGAGATCACCTGAGGTCAGGAGTTTGAGACCAGCCTGGCCAACATGGCAAAACCCTGTCTCTCCTAAAAATACAAAAATTAACTGGGTGTGATGACACATGCCTCTAATCCCAGCTACTCAGGAGGCTGAGGCAGGAGTCACTTGAACCTGAGAGGAAGAGGTTGTAATAAGCCAAGATCACACCACTGTACCACTGTACTCCAGCCTGGGCAGCAGAGCAAGACTCTGTCTTCAAAAAAAAAAAAAAAAAAGTAGCAGATAACAGGGAATGGTTCAATGGTTCAAGGAAATCAAAATGGGAGGGATCGTAGCCTGAAGTTGAGGGTTCCTGCTCTGTGCCTCACACTTAAGAGTATAGGTAGAGGAAAAAAGAACACAAGCCCAAATGCCTATAGGGGCTAGTGTGGAAACATAAATGCATCTGTAGGGTAGGTGCAGACAGTAGGAGACAAGAGACTGGAAAGTATCAAGTCTTGCTAGAGTACAGGCTCAGAATTACTACATCAACCACATTTTCATCAAGCCAGAAACTTGCATGCTGTCAAACTAATTTAAAAATTACTTAGAAATAGTGTATGGGCAAAATAAAATACATCTGTGTATCACATTTAGCCCATGGGGGATGAAAAACTTAGAACTTCTAGTACAGGGTTTCTTATCCTTAGCACTATTCATATTTTGGGCCTTAGCCTGGCCAACATGGCAAAACCCCATCTCTACTAAAAATACAAAAATTAGTTGGGCTTGGTGGCGGGTGCCTGTAATCCCAGCTACTTGGGCAGCTGAGGCAGGAGAGTCACTTGAACCCGGGAGGTGGAGGCTGCAGTGAGCCAAGATCGCACTACTGTACTCCAGCCTGGGTGGCAAGAGCGAGACTGTCCTCAAAAAGAAAAAGAAAAAAATATCTTGGGCCACCTAATACTTTGCTGAGGGTTGCAGGAGGGAGCTGTCCTGTACATTGTAGAATGTTTAGCAGCATCCCTGGCCACTGCCTGCTAGATGTCAGTTAGTACCCCCCTCCCCAGCTATAACAACCAAAAACGTCTCCAGATATTGCCAGATGTCCCCAGGGGGCAAAAATGTCCCTGGTTGAGAACCACTGCTCTAGTATAAAAGGTTGCATGAAGCAAAAACCGGCATTCTAAGAATACAAGTAATTGCCATGAACACAATCTACATACTAAATGATCATGCATGTCATTAACAAATTAATAATAATTTAAAAGTTATTTCCTATTATCTGTTTAGAATGTGCCTATGTGTTTGTGAGCATGAAGTTCGTTTTAAATAAACTTAAAATTTCCCAACCAACCAAGATTTTCTACTAGTAGATGAACTTTGGAATACTTTCTTCTCACCAGTAATAATTGGATCTTCTGGCTTGGTACAGTGCTTCATGCCCGTAATCCCAGCACTTTGGGAGGCCAAGGCAGGAGGATCGCTTGAAGCCAGGAGTTCAAGACCAGCCTAGGCAACATAGTGTGACCTCATCTCTACCAAAAAAAAATACAAAAAGTTAGCTGGACTGGTGGTGCATGCCTATAGTCCTAGCTATTCAGGAGGCTGAGGTGGGAAGATCCCTTGAGTTCAAGGTTACAGTGAGCTATGATTACATCACTGCACTCCAGCCTGGGTAACAGAGCAAGACTCTACCTCAAATCATGATGATAATGATTGGATATTCTTTCTCAGTAGCTGTAGAGACAGGATGATAGCAAGAGCGCCTGCTCTAACTAAAGCACCTTTCTCAATGCCTTTTAAAAAAAAAAACAATCTTTCTGGAAAAATTCAGAAGTATCTGTTTTTATTGCCATATTGTCAGATGTATCTTTTTTGGTGGAGACAGAGTGATAATCCAGTAATAACTACCTGGGCTTGCTAGTTAGAAATGAAGATGTTCTGGTTATGTTTCCTAAGATTCCTCAGTTCAATCTTCCCTGCATGGAATCCTAATGGGAAATGAGTACACTATCTTAAAGGGAAAGACTGAAGTCCTAATCTCTAAGAAAACAAATTTTGTGTAAAACAAGAGCCAAAGAACTGACTGGGCTGTTTTGTTTATTTAAAGGAAAAACTGAATCTCTGCATCATCTAATTTTTAACTTTAAAAAAACAAAAACATGAAATCCCTCTTAACATGCTACTTTATGTTCCATTAACAAAGAAAGCAAAGTGACCAAGTAGAAGGTATAGGACAAGATAGTACCTCAGCCTGGGCCAAGGGGAGATTCAAGTAATTAATTTTTTTGCAGCCCAGTGGCAGAGTCTCTTACTCAGGTTGCTAAAGGGAGAATGTAACAAGATAACTGACATCACTCCCTTCTTCAAAGCAACAAGGCATCATGAAAACTCAACTTCCTGGTGAAGCTCTGTTGTTGGTGGCAGGAATTATTTCATCCATGTGAAAAGACAGCTGAGTTTGGGATGAAAACTCTTCAAAGGAAAACCTCCCCTCAACAGTCATAGTGAGGAACTTCAGCCAACACATAATCAAATTCACTTTTGGTCTATCCCAGAATTTTGCAGTGGGAAGAGAGGTAGGTACAGTTTCCTAGCCCACAGTCATTGCTTCATTCCTTGTCTGGATAAGATGGCAGTTAGAAAAGAAGCTCTCCTACATCCATCTTCTGTACCAGGAAAGAGGAAGAGTGGCAAAAGCAGAGTCCTGTCCTTCAAAGATTCATTCTGGTTCTGTTGTGAGCTATGGCATCCTGTTCCCAGTGTATGCGTTTTGAGATCAGATAGAGCTGCTCTTCCAGGAGTCAGCACCCGTGCTCATGTCCGTCTTTCAGTTAAATCTCCTTGGTTTAGTAACTGTAAAAGATTGAAAGCAAATCTAGAATAGGTTACAGTTGAATTAAAGAAAAAATAATTCATACTAAGAAAAAGGCTTAAGAGTAAAGGATGGAGAATGTACTGCAGGGGTGAATGAAGGGTAATCTACTTCCAAAGCAAACACACACGTTAACTAATAGATCCCAGTGTGGCCTTGGGACAGCACTTTAGCCATGTCATAAGGCTGGCATTTTAACTCTGGCTATCAAATATCTTGAGTCTATAAGCCAAACTATTGTTTGTTTAGTTACCTACTCACCAGTTAGTGATAGAGGAATCTCTAACTTACAGGGAAAACAAATGGTGGAAACTAAATCTCTTTAAGTAAGTATCAGCCAAAGGATAGGCTGAAGGCTCAAGTAGGAGAACGAAATAGGAAGAGGAGCTGTTCACTTTGTAAGTTCTATATGAGAGCTGGAATCCACTCATAAGCAACCCAGGGGTTCCTTAGGCTTAAAAGAATACCTTTGCTGTGATGAAGGAAGATAAGCTTAAGGGAGTCCTGAATAATGGCAGCCAACACTAACATTCTACTCTATACACAAGGCTATATTCAAAGGAGCTTTTGTATGGTAATTCATGAGGTTGGTTTCCATTTTAACATAAAAACAAAATGAGGCTGAGTGCAATGGCTCATGTCTATAATCCCAGCACTTTGGGAGGCTGAGGCAGGAGAACTGTTGGAGACCAGCTTGGGCAACACAGGCCCTGTCTCTAAAAGAAAATTTTAAAAATTAGCCAGGCATGGTAGTATATGCTTGTAGTCCTAGCTACTTGGGAGGCTGAGGCAGGAGGATCACTTGAGCCCAGGAGTTCAAGGGTGCAGTGAGCTATGATCATGCCACTGCACTCCAGTCTGGATGACAGGGTGAGACTGTTTTCAGACAGACAAAAATGAGATGGCAACAATTCAGTACAATTCAGAAGAAAAACTGAGCTTATTAAAATCTAAACAAACAAATTCTTCAGCTTGAGATGTATTTACTTGGTGATCCTAATTTGGATGAAGGTAATTTATACAGTAGTATTTAATGACTGGGTTGGGCACTATGGCTCATGCCTGTAACTCCATTTTGGGAGGCTGAAGTGGGAGGATTTCTTACCATGAGGCCTCATGGTAAGACCCCCTATCTACCATTAAGAGTTTAATGAGTCTCACCATGTTGGCCAGAATGATCTCAATCTCTACCTAGTGATATGCCCACCTCGGCCTCCCAAAGTGCTGGGATTACAGGCGTGAGCCACCACGCCCAGCCTAAAGTAAGAATATTTTTTTAAAAATTGAACTAGAGAATATAAAAGTCCAGAGAGTGTAGCACAGTCCCCAAAACTCTCATGATCCAGATGGTGGCTGGGCCAGGATGAGGTCTTGTGTCTCAGCCCTTCCAGATGTTTGAAAAATCTATAGGGATTTGCAGCATGACAAACAAAGGTCACAACAGGTCAGGTGAGGCTCTTCAACATCCTCATCCTCCTTGAACTCGCCGGGTGTCATTTCTTCTGCCTGTTCAGGCTTTATCTCTATTGCTATTTCCACAGGTGCCAGGAGAGGACTTCTTGGCATATGCTGATGGTCGTCTGCACTAACTCTTCCATATCTGCTCCAGCAGAGAACACAGAGCTGCTCCCAGGGACTGAAGAATGTGGCCGTTGCTCCTTATCATTCTCTGAGACTCCTGAGGCCACTTTACACTGTGGTGGCTCCTCCTCATCTGAGGATTGGTACAAGAAGTCTTCCACGAGGGTATATTCACTTTTCTGGATTCCCAAGGCCTCCTTCACATGACATGGGGCCTCCCTGGGAAGTTCCTTCAGTGGATCCTCTGTGGGAACACTTGCTGGAATTGCTGAGTCCCTGTTGAAAACCTCCAGGACTTGTTCTGGGGACATCTCTCCAGGAAGCTGTCCTTGCACGTGGAGTAAGCAATCGCTTTCCTGGACTCCCCAGGCCTCCTTCACATGACATGGGACCTCCTTGGGAAGTTCCTTCAGTGGATCCTCTGTGGGAACACTTGCTGGAATCGCTGAGTCCCTGCTGAAAACCTCCAGGACTTGTTCTGAGGACATACTTAGCCGGGTGTGGTGGCGGGCGCCTGTAGTCTCAGCTACTCAGGAGGCTGAGGCAGGAGAATCACTTGAACCCAGGAGGCAGAGGTTGCAGTGAGCCCAGATTGTGCCATTGCACTCCAGCCTGGTGACAGAGCTAGACTCCATCTCAAAAAAAAAAAAAATTCTTACCTTATTCTGCTTTTTGTAAGACACAATCTGTCATTGTGTCATTGTAGCTTACATTTTATTCCTTAAGTAACTGTTCAATTGGTTTATTAGCGTTTTTGGATTTTTGTCCACTTCTTCTGGAATTTTTGTAATTTTGATAGATGTTTTATACTTTGTTTCTTTTCTTAATGACTTTTACTTTAGTTTTTAATAAATACATGGTACAGTTTAAAAAAAGAGTTTAATGATATGGAATTTAAAGAAATTTAAACAAAATTGAAAGAAAAATGAAACCTTAAAGAAACCACATATTTCATTTGCTGCTGTGTGGCAGGGAAGTAAGAATAGTGTGTTTTTAATGGAGGCCAAGATCCAGATGTTTGCAAAGGTACTTTATGAGAAATGCTATAGAATTTGTAATTCCTGTTTTGGCCTTGATTTGGGAAGCATTCTAAGATGTAGTTAAAGCTAGCTGGGAATCTCTTATACTGGTTCTTGAGTTCAAGAATATGAACTCAATGTAAATATGGAGGCCCATTTAGGATGACCTTTAGTAAGTATGAGAGCCCAAAAGCCCTGGGCGGGGTGGGGGGGGGTCCCAGTTGGGCCTGTGCAAAGAGTCTTCCATCTAATTCTCAGATGTGACACAATGAGGGAAAATAGAGATTATCCATCTAAACCAGAGAGAGAGGTGACTTGTAGTTTTTGATATTTTTCCCATGGTAATTTCGTTTAAAAAAAACAACAATCAGGGTTTGGCTCTGTCACCCAGACCGGAGTATAGTGGCATGATCATGGCTCACTGTAGTCTCAACCTCCTGGGCCCAAGTGATCCTCTAACCTCAGCCTCCCAAGTAGCTAGGACCAGCTAATTTTATTTTATTTTTGTTTGTGGAGATAGGATTTCCCTGTGTTGTCCAGGCTGGTCTCAAACTCTGAAGCTCAACTGATGCTCCCACCTCAAACTGATCCTCTCACCTCAGCCTCCCAAAGTGCTAGGATCACAAGCGTGAGCCACTGTACCCAGCCTCTCATAATTTCTGATAACAGATTTGGTTGTTCTCTGATATGCTTGATATGTTCTCTGATATGCTTGATATTTTTATTTTTAGAGCATATTTATAGGAATTACAAGTTCATCAGTATCAGTAGACTTTGATCTATACTGCTTGATGATCTCCAAAAAGTTGAAATGGGCATGTATTGCAAATAGCCTTCACCTTCTCTGGCACCTGAAAGTTCTTAAGGAATCAACATTCCTCACTCACTGGAGAAATGGCAAGTTAATACTTAGACCTTGGATGAGGAAGAGGACTAAGCCTGGAACCTTGAAGGGCTCATAGCTTGAAAAAACTGAAGGTATTGGAGGATCCAAACTAGCAAAGAAAGAAAAGGAGGGAATAAGCAGTGGAAATGCCTGTGATAAGAGGAGAAGAATAATGGTAAAAGTGGAGAAAACACAAAAGAAGTGAGGCTCAGACAGAGAGTGTGTTTGTAAATGCAAAAAAAAAAATGAGGAAAAAGTGACAGTGCAGGATTTTCAGCTACATCATGGGCAGCACTTTCCCCATTGTGTTATTAATATTTTCCTGACCAGGCGTGGTGGCTCACGCCTGCAATCCCAACACTTTGGGAGGCCGAGGCAGGTGAGGTCAGGAGTTCAAGACCAGCCTGACCAACATGGTGAAACCCCGTCTTTACTAAAAATAGGAAAATTAGCTGGGCATGGTGTTGGGTGCCTGTAATCCCAGCTACTCGGGAGGCTGAGGCAGGAGAATTGCTTGAACCTGGGCAGCGGAGGTTGCAGTGAGCCAAGATCAAGCCACTGCACTCCAGCCTGGGCAACAGAGTGAGACCGTGTCTTATATATAGGCCCTTTGCACTCTCCTGGAGTGAAGGCCGTACTTCCTTTTTTTGTTTGATTTTTGGGACGAGATGTCTCTCAGGCTGGAGTGCAATGGCACGATCATAGTTTACTGTAGCCTTGAACTCCTGGGCTCAAGTCGATCCTCCTGCCTCAGCCTCTGGAGTAGCTGAGACTACAAGTACATACCACCATGCCTGGCTAATTTTTTAAAAACCTTTTATAGAGACAGGATCTTGTTGTGTTGCCCAGGCCTGTCTCGAACTCCTGGCCTCAAGTGATCCTCCCACTTTAGCCTCCAAAAGTGCTGGGATTATAGGCATGATCCACCACACCCAGCCTGTGTTGTGCTGTCTCCTTGAGGCTGTAAGTGGGCAGCACCTATCATATGTGGATGCTCTGAGGTCAGTTCCAAGACTCATGTGCCTAGGTCCTAGAGAACAAATGTACTATTACTGGATATTCTGTATACACAAATCTGATCATGTCATACCCTAGTTAAAGCTGTGCAGTGGTTCTTCAGTGCCCCCAGGATAAAATCATGTCTGTAAGACCTTTCAAGAGAGGAACTAGCTTATCTTTCCAGCTCTCAATTTTCCAGCCCATCTCTCCATCCCATGTCCTATCACACTCAACCCTTTATGATTCCACAGAGGTGCTCTTTTCCCTCTCACCTTCTACCTTCGTACACACTGCTGTCCTTCTGCCTGTTACATTCTTCCAACTCCTACTTCTCCGTCAAGATGATTTCTATTCATCCCTCCCGTCTCAAACTCTAAAACATATTCTCTGACTTCTCCCAAGACTGGCACTTACTACACTTAAAAACTGCCAGTTTATGCTGGATGCGGTGGCTCATGCCTGTAATCCTTGCACCTTGGTAGGCCAAGGTGGGTGGATCACCTGAGGCCAGGAGTTTGAAACCAGTCTGGCCAACGTGGTAAAACCCCATCTCTATTAAAAATACAAAGAAATTAGCCAGACACAGCGACCTGCAGCTGTAATCCCAGCTACTTAGGAGGCTGAAGCAGGAGAATTGCTTGAACCTGGAAGGCAGAGGTTGCAGTGAGCCAAGAATGTACCACTGCCCTCCAGCCTGGGAGACAGAGCAAAACTCGTCTCAAAAAAAAAAAAAAAAAAATTGCCAGTTTAGGCTGGGTGCAGTGGCTCACGCTTGTAATCCCAGCACTTTGGGAGGCCAAGGTAGGTGGATCACTTGAGGTCAGGGGTTTGAGACCAGCCTAGCCAACATGATAAAACTCCATCTCTATGAAAAAGACAAAAAAGTAGCCAGGTGTGGTGGCAGACACCTGTAATCCCAGCTATGCGGGAGACTGAGGCATGAGAATTGTTTGAACCCAGGAGGAGGCTGCAGTGAGCCAAGATCATTCCACTGCAGTCTAGCCTGGGAGACAGAGTGAGACTCCATCTCAAAAAAAAAAAAAAATTGCCAGTTGATTGATCTGTCACTCCTCCTATCCTAACCTCTCTGTACAGCACAACTCCAGGGGTACCATAAATATAGCTATGAAGGTTCTGCCTATAAGTTATTTGAGGCAGAGATTGTACTTTGTTTACTATCATATAACTAGTAACCTGCAGAGTGCCTCACACATGCTAGATATGTGATAACTATCTGAATGAATTAAATTTTTGTACATGTGGCATTTATTTGGGTAATGTGGAGAATTTTTAAAAGACATTTACCAATATAGGACCAGGTGTGGTGGCTCATGCCTGTAATCCCAGCACTTTGGGAGGCCAAGGCTGGAGATCACAAGGTCGGGAGTTCAAGACCAGCCTGACTAATATGGTGAAACCCTGTCTCTACTAAAAAAAAAAAAAATACAAAAATTAGCTGGGTGTGGTGGTACATGCCTGTAATCCCTGGTACTTAGGAGGCTGAGGCTGGAGAATCGCTTGAACCTGGGAGGCAGAGGTTGCAGTGAACAGATCACACCACTTTACTCCAGCCTGGGCAACAGAGTGACACTCTGTCTTTAAAAAAAAAAAAATCTTACCAATATAGAAGGGAAAAGCTCTGAGGTTTCAAATGTAAAAAAGAAAAGGCTAGGTGCTGTGGATTGGCTTACTGGAATAATGTGTACTCGTAAAAGAAAAAGGAGATGATTTTCCTGAAATGATTTCAGGGCAACCGTATAGTGGATGAGAGAAGTTTTTCTTTTTCTTTTTTGAGATAGAGTCTTGCTCTGTTGCCAGGCTAGAGTGGAGTGGCACAATCTCAACTCACTGCAACCTCGGCTTCCTGGCTCCTGCCTCAGCCTCCTGAGTAGCTGGGACTAAAGGTACTTACCACCATACCCAGCTAATTTTTGTATTTTTAGTAGAGATGGGGTTTCACCATGTTGGCCAGGATGGTCTTGATCTTGACCTCATGATTCAACAGCCTTGGCCTCCCAAAGTGCTGGGATTACAGGTGTGAGCCACCATGCCCAGCCTGAACCACCATAAGGTAGTTTTCAGGGGGAGAAAAAAAAAACACAGACTATTAGAGGATACAATGAATTAATGTCAGCTTTGTTAGATGTGATATTTTTTAAAAAACATTGTATCTGTTAAGAGACACATACTGAAACATATACAGAAGAAATGACATGCCTACAATTTGCTTTGAAATACTCCATCACAAACAGCAACAACAACAAAAGGAGGAAAGAAATAAAACAAGAACAGTATAAAGTTAATTGTGTTTTTGTTTTTTTGGGACAGGGTCTCACTCTGTCACCCAGGAGTACAGTGGCACAATCACTGCACAAAAAAAATTGTCAAAGTTAGGAAATTGGTACATGGGTTTATTATACTAGTGTCTCTCTCTCACTATACTCTGAAAATTTCCATAATAAAAGCTTTAAAACAGAAAATTGAAGAAAAGAAAAAATGGAGGAGAAAGAGGAAGGCTCTGTAAGTGAGACATATATGACTCATTCCAAAGCAGTTACCAGAAAACGTGACTTAGGAAAGAATAAATGATATCAACAGCAAAAACTAAATATAAGCAAACACAATGGGTCACAACAATGAATAAAAAGAAAGGTCTTGGCAAAAGCATTAACATGTATGCCCAGAACCCTGCAATCTTGGATACCCCCAAGGATATTACAGAATAATGAAGACTATTCAACATAGGATGCAGAGTCATTTGAATGATGTAACAGCTTACTGTGGTAAAAGTTACAATGAAAAGAAAGAGGAGAGAAGATGGAAGAGCACCATAAAACCTAATGTAATACTGAAGGGATCCAAGCTACATAGATTCTGACAAAAGCCTATGCATATGGAATGTACTTATGATGAAGTCATCCACTCCCTGACACAAGACGAATAAAATATTCTAAGATTCTAAAAGACTTACTGGTTTGCATTCTGTTTTCTGAGTCAAAGCCAAACCACAGAGTTGAAAGTGCTTACAACCTAAAACCTTTCTTCTGTTTAGATCAGGGGTCACCAACCCCCAGGCCACGGACCAGTGGCCACGGACCAGAGGACCACATGGTCAGTTTTAGCAACTGGGCTGCACAGCAGGAGGTGAGCAGCAGGTGAGCAAGCATTACCACCTGAACACCCCCTCAGATGCCTGTCAGATCAGCAGCAGCAACGGATTCTCACAGGAGCGCAAACCTTATTGTGAACTGTGCATTTGAGGGATCTGGATTGTGTGCTCCTTATGAGAATCTAATGCCTGAAGATCTGAGGTGGAACAAAATTGATCCCTGGTGCCAAAAAGGTTGGAGACCACTGATTTAGATAACGGTTCACATTTAGCAAGCAAATGAACAAATCTGTATATGCCCATTTGGTTAAGCCTGGTATCTCCCAGACATACGACCCTAGCAGAATGAACAATAATTATGTTTAATGATTGTGTTATTATCTTTTTTGCTGAGGACCTTTTCCAAGATGTTATTTATGGAGAAAAGAAAGGGCTAAGAAACACTTGCTCCTTTCTAGTACAGAAATTTCACCCAAGCCACACAGTCCAGGCCCTTCTCTGTTATTCTCTGAATAACTTAACAGGTAAGGTCAACATGCATTTATTCAGTGCTCATTGTGTGCCTTTATAAAATAAAAGCTGTATCTTCATGTTATAGTATGGCAGAGAACAGTGGGAACAGACATCAATGAGGAATGTGTATAAAAGAACTTTAAAGCTGAGAGTCCCAGGTGTGACAGACCAATCTCCAATTTGTCAGCTGAACTCATGCTTAATTTAAAAGAAAATACTCATTTCAAAGTTTCCAGGAAATGGAAACTGGAGACTTTTTCAGATCCTCTAAATTCTCAGTCCTTCCCCACCTTAGGTTCCACAGAAACAAAGGGCAAGAGACCACTTTACCTCTTGTGGATTTACTGCAGTTAAGACAGAAACTTCATATGATTGCCTCCCTGACTGCATGGTCACCAAGTGATGTGTCACATCAGGCACTGAAGACAGGGAACGTGGGGATCCTTCAGCAAGCACTTCTGTGAAGCAACAGAAAAATGTTTCAATGAAAAGTGAATCCAGAGATATACCTATCTGCATCATTAAGCCTGTCATTAACAACTCTCAGACTCTATTCCTCTATTTCCCACATTCCTCTATTTCTTCCAAGTTAATCCTGTCTGATAAGCACTATCAGTGAATTCGGAAAGTATTATAGAAACAGAATAGAAAAAAAGACAAGAAATCTTAATTCAGGATTTAGAATAATACGGTATTAGCACTGTTAACTGAATTAAAACTATGTATGAAACGGGGCAAAAGCTGCTTAGGCAAGCAGGTCAGGGAACCAAAGCCACCCTTAAAGCAGTCACCAATGATAATGACAGCACTCACTGACTGAATATGGTATGAACCAATGACACTGATAGCACTCACTGACTGAAAATGATATGAAGAGCAAAACACAAGATCTCACAGTTACTAAATGTTCATCAGTGGGATCACCATGAAAATCTAGAAATATTTTAAGGATATACCACTTAGCCCTCAGAAAATCAAAAGTTTCTTCTAGGGGTTTTCTAGCTGATATAACTCTTTTATACTGTACCATATAATTTAATGTTCACTATATACTGTCTTTTATGTACTCAATGTTGTTTCCCATATATATGTAAGCTTTCACTTCTCAACTGGATATTAAGGTCCCTAGCTTCTACTTTTGTCTTTCCCATGGTGCCAGGCACACAGTAGGCACTGAATAAATGCATGCTGACCTCACCTGTTAAGTTTTTCAGAGAAGAGGGCCTGGCCTGTGTAACTTGGGTGAAATTTCTATACCAGAGAGGAGCAAGTGTTTCCTAGAGAGCCCTTTCTTTTCTCCAGAAGATATGGCTTTTGAAGGTATGGAGAAATTGCTTTATATCTCCTCTGTAAAACCTGGTTATGTTCTGTTTAAATGTTTTAAAAGTTAAGTTCTTCCATAACTGCAATAGGAAAGATAGAAATAGTTGTGCTAGGATGCTAGGATTATGAATAATTTTTTCTTAAGATTTTTTCTTTTTATTCTTTGTTATATTATCTTCAATGAAAAAAAATTTTTTTAAACAGACTCACTTATCCACCCCAGAGAATAAGAACACAAATGCTACTCAATCATACCACAGCTATTCATAAGAAATGAGATTTAAACCTCCACTGTGGAGACACCCCATTCCTTAGCCCCTAGTTGCAGCCCATTTTTCCCAAATAAAGGAGAGGTGGAAGTCTTACCATCATCAACTCCCAGGATAGAATTGGTATTTGGTAGGTTCAAGGACTCTCCACCAAGGCTGGGCTGGGAATTCATAGACACCAGGTTTTTACTGGGTACTGAAGCCTCTTCAAGCAAACTACTGCCCATTAGTGGCTCAGCTGCACAGAGAATAGGTTGTGAGAGACATACAGCAGTCAAGGCTGTGCCTGGTCCTCATTTTCTTTCAACGGGAAGCTGGACTTCTCTTTCATTACTAGAAGTTAACCTATGTATTGGATGCCACCTCTTATTTCACCTACTTTCGAGAAACAAGAATAAACCTAGAAGGGAAAGAGTAATAAGCCTAATGACCCTTGCTTGTTTTCAGCATCTGAAGAATTAGTATATGAGACAGGATAGGCGGACCTTTAGAAAGGAATATTTGGAACAATTAAGGAAAGGAATAAGACAATTAATGGCAAAGGAATAAGAATTAAAAAGTTGTCAAATTTCAGACAGGGCAAAAAGGTAGTCACAACTGGTAAGCAGAAAATGCTTCCAGCCTGGCCAACATGATGAAACCCCATCTCTACGAAAATACAAAAATTAGCCAGGTGTGGTGGCACCTGGCTGTAATCCCAGCTACTCAGGAGGCTGAGGCAGAAGAATCCTGAACCCAGAAGGCGGAGGTTGCAGTAAGCTGAGATGGCGCCACTGCACTCTAGCCTGGGTGACAGAGTAAGACTCCATCTAAAAAAAAAAAGCTTAAACTTTTGCCATACAGAAATCTTTTGTCACTGTGTTACTGAAATCCTCGTTCATGGATCAGCACTAGTTACCATCAAACTTACTACGGGAACTTTTAAAACTACAGATTCTGGGATCTTGCAAATTATCTCATTTATGAGATTGCTTTGTTTTATTGGTGGGGGGGGACAAGCAACAAAAAAATATATAAATTTTAAAAGCTTGCAGATGATTCTACTGTATAGCTAT